TTTTCTATCATATATTCCTTTTCTGATAAGTTTATGATTGCAATTTTAAATTCATTGTTTTTTATATTTGTCAAACATTCACTGGTTATTACTTCCTCATTAAATCTGAATTTGGGGCAATAAATTGTTTGATCTTGAGAAATACACTTAATTTTAGTTATTATTTCACATCTAGGTGGCACGCAAATCAAATTAGAAGCATCGACTGTATGTAATTTAAATATGTAATCATTTAATTTAAATGTTTGGTCTTGGTATGATATTACACCATTGTATTGTGAGATAATATCCCTTCCAATAATTCCATCAAAGGGAATATTAATTTCGTCTGGAACAACTTGGAACTTAAATGAAAAATTCGTGGAATCTATCTTTGGTGTTAAACAATACGAACCCAGTGTTTTTATTTGAACATTTGCTACTCCTACAATATTAGTTTGCTCTTCTTGCGTTATATTTTGTTTGTCAACTATTTGATTTTCTTTAATCAAGCTTAATTGAGCCGCCGTATCGACTATCAACTTGATATGTTCCTTATCTACTTGTTCTCGATTTGTTTTTACATAAATTATTTCATTCAAGTCATTAATTCTTAATACGACATGTTGTTCTTTATCCTTTTGACAATTATTAACTCCTATGTTCCCAATATTATCATTTAAAACACTATCACCCTGCACAGTTGGAGAGCTCTCGTTTCCCGGATTTGTCAAGCGATTTATTCTGTTGTTTGATGTATTTTGGAGATTCCTTTGATTACTTCCCTGATTATTGTTTTGTCCGACGGTTTGATAATTTCTCTGATAATTATTGTTGTTACTTTGACTGAAGTTGTTATGGTGTCTAAACGTATTTTGTCTATTTCCATAATTATTTTGGTTACTTGGCCCTTGTCCATAATTAATACTTTGTGTAAAACTTTGATGGTTTCTATTAAACCTACATTGATGGGTTTGGTGGTTATTTCTATTACAAATTTCGCATTTTATGTGATTTCTCTGAAACCTGCATTGGTTTGTACTATGATTATTTCTCCCACAAATATTACAATTTAATTTATTAAAATAATTAATTCTTCCACCTTGTGTAAGACCAATCTCGCAATAAATACAAAATACAAAACGCATTGCTGGTTTTGTATTTTAAAATTTAATAGCCCTCTTTTAAACCCATTTACACAAATCGTTTCTATTGTTTGATCATCTCTTTCGGCAATTCTCAGAAATTGAGTTCTTAGGGATTTTATTCTGCTTGCATACGTGTCAATATTTTCATTACTACGTTGTTTGCAGTTTGATATTTCGTTTATTAGTGTAGGAATTGATTTTGACACTTGTTTAAAATTTTGAGTCAATTTTAATACTAATTCGTCCCATGTATCAAACTCGAAGGTTCTGACTCTTTCTAATGCGTCGCCTGTGATTTTAAAACCAATTATTATATCGATGAAATTACTTCTTCTATCTTCTGCTAACAAGTTTAAGGCAATATTCACTTGATTAATAAATGTGTCTAATTTTGAGACATCTTTCCCGTCAAATGCATCGATATATCCTAATAAATCTTTTTCACTAAATGCGTTATTGGCCATTTTTGATATTTATTTATTTACTCTTTGATTTTATTATTATTATTATTATTTTTATTTTTTATTATTATTATATTCGGGGTAGTTCGAATCGATAGAGAAACTCAAACAATGTGAACTACTTACATGAACATTTTAACAACCATCGACCGTTGAACGCTGGATTGAATGGAATTGAAGAGACTTCGTTTCCTCGCTTCAGCTGTTCTTCTTGATTTCTTCTTATGATGATGATACCCTCCGTCAAATGGCTGTTGAATTCGCATGCGTTGTTGTATGCACACGAGATCCGCCGCCGCTGTCACCAAAATGTTAGGGATGATGTTGTGAGCCTTTGCTCTTCAGACAACCCGATTCTTCTAACTTATTATTTCTTTCGGAAAGAAGAACTGAGCCAAAGATTCTACTAAGTCTTTATTTACAAAATATTGACCAAGAGGCGAATTACAAACTCTACTTCTGGCTCATAAGGCTGACCGAACTCCACCGAGGTTGAGCTAAGACTAAATAATTTTAGCACTAATAATCTTAAACTAAACTTATCGTAAAATACACTAGAAAGAAGGACCAAGGGTAGCCGCTCGGGTCATTGACCCTTATAATGTTTATGCTAATGTGCGGTAGGTCTGTACAAACCGTACCCTTCGGCCGGGAAATTTCAATAAAATAATAAATGGTAATAGAATATAAAACTAAAACTAAATACACAATATTTCTAACTCAAAAATCCAAGTAATGTGCAATAAACATAAATAAACCATAAATGATACGCTCATAACAGTTCGAAGAAATCGTTACATTAATATCCGAGGCGTTTTTATGCACATTTACGATTAGATAGCAGCGCTAATATAAATATATTCTTAATATAGGCACGATGAAATTATTATAACCATGAGTGTATTAATGTGTGAATAAATTAATGAATGAATGAAATATTATGTTACTCCCCGGTTATTACATATAATTTATGCGATAAGCATTTTTGCAAGTCATTTTTGTAGATATAAAATCTGTTTAGACATTGTAACGCGTGGTGTGAATGAAGTGTTGCCCTTTTACATGTTTATTAGTGGTGCGGGCGCGGAAATGTGCCAACCATATGTCCGATATGTAATATTCCAGTGGGATACCATTAATCGCTGCAGACAAATGTCAGCAATGTGTGTGAACTTGCTTAAGGGCACATATCAACGTATCAGTGTAAAGTAAAAAACGTAATGCACATTATGCCATTATTTACGATTTATCAAATGACATTTCCGTTAAAAACAAGATTTTTGTAACGTCAAACAATACTTTTACTTTATTTTGTATGATGTGTGTAAATTTGTAAAGCATTAAGGATGTTACACAATGCATAGTAGAAATTTCTTTGTGAAAATTTGTTTAGTAACATTTTCATGTGAAATCTACTTTCTAAGACTGTTAAACAGTTTTTAAGTGAAAAACGTTAATGAATGATATAAAATAATCAATTATTTTATAATTATTGTATAAATTTTGTTTTCGTGTTGGTGAATAATTAAAAACCCATTTTAATTCTGCAAATTCTCCACCAGGTCAAACCTTCGGAACAAAGAAACATTTATAATACGAATATGCGAATGAAAAGAAACCGCACCCAGTGAAATGATTAACGCATTCAACGTGGCTGTGAAATATTTACGAGAACATTAAGATCGCTATTAGATTGATAAGACCCCCTGGAAACCTGAAAACCTTTACTCGACAAAAGAAATATTAAAATTGATGTGGTGTATAAACATTCTTTGAATTTCTGTTTGTGATAAACACTTCAAATCATAAAGGCGCTTACCGCTTAGTAAATGCATTCACATTTGCATGAAATGACTTGGTCTATTAAATTGTAATAGTGCTCGTTGTATTCACAATAAAAATGCAACATTTAGGTTTTACAATACATTAGGCTGGGACAATGACTTATGGAAATGATTGTATGACGATTTCCTACTTCCGCTCGTGGTTGAATTTCTTTTGTTTCTTTATTTTTGTTTGTTGCATATTTTTGGTAAAGACAATTTCGAAACCAGACAGATTTTTATTATATTTGCGGAGGTATTATAAGAATGGCAAGTAAGGCGGATTATGGCATGTCAAATGGCATACCAAATGGGCAAATTGCTCAATTGAAATGGCCCACGTGCCCTATTTTTATACGATCCGCCATTAAGGCCAAAGTCTGGGCCTGCACATCGTCATCGTAATCATAAGCCTGGTGCGCCGCGAGCAAAGCGTTTGATGGTCGATGACTGGACGGTTCGGTGAATGTATGTGCGTTTTTCCCCATGGGGGAAATTTCAACTATGGAATTTCAGCGCCAGGCACTAATTCAGTGCGGGGCCGTGCCCTTATTGTTTATTTCATGGCGGCGGACTATGGAGAACCGGCAAGTGCTTTCAGTTAACAATAAAACTTGTCACATGAAAACATTTATCTTGCGGCATTGAATTGCATTCAGCTATTATTGATTACTATAGTACATATAACAAACGCATATTTACTTCGTTTTATTGTTTAACTATTAATTGACTGCTTCCTCATTCTTCGATCTTGGCATTAATAAATAAAATCCACAAAAATTAATCTTTAACTATTGCAGCAAAGGGCAATGTGCCTAATGAAAATTTATTTGTAATAAATAATATTCTATCAATTGATCTCCATGAATTTTATAAATTCAGCTCTGTCTTTGTGTGTGTCGCTTGCATCGTCGCAATTTATTCAGTATAAAATCACAACACAACTCCACATCAAATGCAAAGAGAAGATACACACTGAATAACTAAACAAGTCTTGCAGCTAGCTTCAAAGAGCAGAGGGGTCATTATAATAAAACAATTTGAATGTAATGGAATATGCGTTCATGATCAATAGCTCAACGAGTGTTAAATTGACGCTTCTGCTGCTCATCATGATTTATACATGACATTTCTCCTTCTTTCTGTCCTTCCACGGTCTTCAATTAATAATTCTTTCCGTTCGTGATGATAAAATGCTAAAATTAATTTATGAATATCATGGTTATTCGCTGTTTAAATAATAAACTGTTTTAATACTTCATAAGCATTTCTCTTAAGTCAAGATATGCGTTCATTTATGTCATGCATCCATGATGAGTTAAATATTTACTCGTGAAGTGTGAATAACAACGGGCATATTGCGTAAACGAAAATATTGTATAATCCCTGACCTATTTCTCAATTCTTATGCGTGAAGAATTCGAGTGATGCAACTGGAACAAGCGGCGAGAAAACACTTTAATGGACGATAATGTGTTTATGAATTATGTCCTTGATATTATTATATGTATCTAAAAATATACCTTACCAGCGCAAACAACTTCGACATTTTATGAATATAATAAATTTCATCTTTCTATTGTTTGCAGCTTGGTGTAAACCATTGACGGAAGAAGATGAAGACGACTATACCTTACAAAATGATGACTATCCTGACGATTATGATGACGATTCGAATGGCGATGAAGATAATGATGAACCGGACGAAATGCCAAAATTCATCACGAAACCATTACATCTTTCCGTGAAGGCACATTCGGATATTTCGCTGCCATGTGATTTATCCGGAAATACCGGTATGTACTCGCACACTCACTTTTTCTATAAATATTATGTTTATAAGTAATTTTATATCTTTTTGTAGCTACTTATACGATTATGTGGAAGAAAAACAACGAAATCATCTTCCAAGAAAAGCACATTTTTACATCGTTCGATGCTAAGAAGTTTGCCCTCGTAAATACAACGACATTAACTATCAAAGATGTAGATGCATCGGACTCTGGGGAGTACTCGTGCGTAGTTATCATTTCATCTGATAAGGAGGAAGCGCTGAAACATACATTGACAATTCAAGGGCCAGCGAAAATTACTTCCTTGACAGCAGACAAAAGCGGAACAGAAGTAAGCTAATTGAGATGTCTTTGTGAGATAATTACATTAATTTGCTATCGTATTGTTTGATTTATAGTATAAAGCGGGTGATACGTTGGAATTGACCTGCTCCGTTGCCGGAAAACCAGAACCGAAGATCTCTTGGTCTTTACATGGTAAACATCTCGGTACCGGATCGAAATTGATCATTGATAATATTGGTCACGCCGATTCTGGAGATTATCAATGCATTGCTGATAACGGAATCGATCCAGTTAGTCATCACTCTATCAACATCAATGTTATGTGTAAGTATATTACTTATATTTGTTTGATTGGATTGTTTATCAAGTTTAATATTGTAATTGTAGATGCTCCGATTATTGAATTGGAGAAGGCTACCACAAACTTTAGAAATGATGAGTACGATATTGACTTGCGATGCAAGGTGCGCTCAAATCCACCCGCTATTGTTGTCTGGAGGAAGGACGGCGAGGAGATCAAGAAAGATAGCCGAAGGAAGAACAACGTGCACATTTTGAAATTGGAGAAGGTGGATTCTAAACAGTTTGGTAAATACTCGTGCAGTGCTGTTAACCAGGTTGGCAAAAACGAGCAACATGTGATGATTACCAACGCGCCGAGCAAAGCTGAATATAAAGGCGAACATGATGTCCACGGCAAAGAGTTAAATATGACATGGCAGGTGGAATCTATGTATCCTATCACCGAGTATTCTTTGGAATACAAGAAGGCTTCTGTTAGTATTTTTAAACTTTTAAACTAAGCCAATTTGCCAATTTTATCTAATATCATTTACAGGCCAGTGAATGGAAAGAAGAAAAACCAGAAGTTACTAACTCTGAATCTGGCAATCTATATGTCATCAACTATATATTGAAGAATTTAGAAGGTGGAGCATATGAAGTGCGAGTGAGGTCTAAGAATCAATGGGGATGGTCAGAATATTCCAAAACGACGTTCAAAGGTATGAAATTTGAGTTGTGTTTTGAATTTGGACTTGTTCTCAGTATATTCTAGCACTCACTCACACACTAGTTGATTTTGATTAATGGTATTGTTTTCTTTACTTAATAGCACACAATGCACATCACGGACACAAACAACCAAAAGATCAGCACAAAAACAAACCCATTAGACCCAATGAAGGTACATATTCATTAAAGCACCACTAAATTAATAAAGAGCTGATATTAATATTAGAAATAATATTTACGTTCATTTTATAATTTCTTTGCATTCTATATTAATGTGTCATTCATTTCTTTTACAGAAGATAATAACATTGCTATTGAAACACGTGTAGAAGGTAGTTACCACACTTCTTAAATCTTCTTACCACCTTATATATACAACAATTGTCGGATATTTAACTTTTGTTTTCTTGTTTAGGTTCAAGAACTTCTTCTTCATCTCAATTCCTTCCATCGACATCACTGCTATGTCTAGTTGCCTTCACACTCTTCAATAGACATTAATGTTTGCCAATGGAAATATACGACAAAAGGAAATTCAATCGATGTTCAAACGTATATAATTGAAACTTCTTGCGCTAAATGTACGGCAAGAAATTGATCAACATTTTATATTTCGAAAGGAACGAACCAAACCAAAGTATTTTCACGTTTTGCTAAGTTGCTAGCTTGCTATGATAATTTGCGTACATCTATTTTGTTCTTCAATACTAAATGATTCATGAAATTTGTATATAAATTAGACTGACACAGGATTTTAATTCAGCAACTCTGAATGAGTGTTTTGTGAAAATAATTTAATTTATTTCGAACGTTATTTATCACAAATGTTATTTATCAATTCAATTGCACCATATTAGAGTTTGAAAAATTTGATATCTGGAATTATCAGCTATTCGTCCAAAAACAATTATTTTTTAACTAAATGCTTATCAATTTTATATAGTTAAAAGATCTTTTAGTCGCGTTAAGGTCGGGAATTGAGGTCGGATTCATTAGGAGTAAAGTTTGTAGTACAACATTTAACAACATGTTGTTAAAGTCATTACATATTACAATCAGATAAATCTATAAGGGTGTCCGCGGATTAAATTTTACTACAAATTGCATTACAAGATGAAGAACACCTTTAAGTTGATACTTAATGGATAGAATGAATCGCATAGGTCGTAAGTAGCGATTTATTTTAAATTCAGTTAACATAGTTTAATGTTACAGGATTAATGAAGATGAAAACAAAGTTGCTAAATGTGTGCTTGTAAATAAGATTGTATATTATTAATAAACTGTAACACGAAGGTGAATGATTGATGCTACACACGAAATGAAATTATACTTGATTTAATATTTAAGTTATAAATATTAAGGTTACCTAATTGACTGGCGAAAGAATATGCCCAAAAACCACGATAAGTTCAATATTATTAATCCATACTAATGTATATTATTTTGTGTTCATTATTGCAGCTTGTAAATTATTGTATGCTGTACATTTTAACTTGTAAGTAACGCCATATACCATCAGATTTAATAACAAAATGAAACGAGTTGCAGTTCTGAACACCATTTGATCAGTATTTCATTGAATATGTGACGTACGTTTAATATTTCAATAGGAATTATTCAAAAGAACATTAGATACACTCAACCAATTTATGCTGTCTTATAGTTTGCACATTGTATTTACATTTTATGTTTAAATATCATCATCAATTGTTCAATGAATGCCATAATACTTTTAATTACTTTTTAATGCAATTTATTTTACATTCAAATGTCTAAATATCCACAAAACTGCTTTTAGAAACATGTAGTCGCATTGTTTAGTTAAACAACAAACATATTACGTTTTGGTGACAATGAACGTAGACCACATTAATTTCTAAGTAGTATTCTTTGTGTAGTTAGTAGATCGCAATGTTCTAATGTAAATATTTGATTAATAATAACTTTATGTTGTATCTGAATTTTAGTTTTTACCTACACATAGGCGTTGCATTATTATATGACACCTGTTTAAGAAAAATATCAAACTTATGAAACAGAATATCCAAAAACCGATGACAACATAATCTTAAATACTTGTATACTAGTTGCTTCCGAAACACAAGCTTCCATATTTTCGTCATTGTAAGACACGTGTTGTAATAGTTACATTAACATTTTGTGTCACATAAATATGTGGACATGTTGACTTATTCAGGATGCCTTACACTTAACTTATACAATATGAGAATGCTTTTCAGCTACGTAGTAAAGTGGATAGAAATTTATCTATGTATATTCAATGAAAACTATTCTGATATCCTAAACCTCTACAAATTCGTAAATACTTACACATAATATATCTATAATATATTTTTTTGTAAAACGGTTTTTATAGATATTAATATTTATGATAAAAATACAATATCTCAAGTACTGGATGGTTAACAAATTCGGAATTGATTGTGAACATGAAATGGCAATTGTTTCGTTAGAAAAACACACAAAGTTTGCTAACATAACAGGAAAAAGGGGAAAAGAAATATTGTAATGTGCTTTCACATTTACAACTTTAATGTTTTCTAAATTATTTCAAATTGTATGTAAATGTATAGAAATAAAAACAGTGGATAATGAATTCATTTAATATATTCAACTTTATATTCCATAACTCGTCCTTCCACCTCCATTACAATTTTTTGTGTATAAAATTACCGTTTCTTGTATATTGCGTTTCCTGCTGCGGAAAACGTTAAATAACAATATTTCCTGATTATATAAGCCTGAAAAAAGCCATATTACTTCCAGGTAATAATATTTGTAGGGTAAAAGGAGCAACAAGTATCCTGCCTGCACATGGCCCTGGATCATGCGTACAAGCACGCTGACCTGCATTTCCCGACCTGCGTAGATCCTGCCTGCCTGCCGGAACACAGAAATGCGCATCTACACATACGCTCACCTTCAAGTCGAGCCGTGATTGTATAGTGAGTGCCTAAAATTCCTGCTATACTCATATCTCTCGAATTCTATCGCTTCGACAGTTGCATATTGAAAACGACGCGTGCCAATCCCGCGACAGTGCCCATCCCATAACAATCATCTCTGAATCAATACGAACGATACAAACTGAATGTAAAACATTCAGCTTGTTGCCGCTCGCACGAACATCGACTCGCTTGTTCAATGTCACACGCAAATACCATAACAATTGTTTAGTTTGCCGGTCGTAAGATTGCGGCGTCCGTAGTTCCGCGACGATCTACGACTTAATCGCGGTTAAAAGGTTCAACAGGAGCTTTTAAATTATAGTGACAGTCGTAAGATCTCCTAGAATTTGCATGCGCTGAAAATATTTAACGAAACAGCTGTGGTTCCGCGTTCGTATTGATACACACACCTGATCATGTCGTTTTCATTGCCATTGCATGCTCGCACGTTTAGATCGACCTCGTCAAAACGTTGAGTTTAATTCTCTGCCTAATCACACACTCAGTACGGTCTTGTGATGTGTGCGTGTGCCATTGCGGTTTTGGCTCGCTTTGGTTTTCAAACCTGATAACGCGGCTTTCACGAGTTTCGAGTTAAAGAACAACTTAGTAAGTACTAATCAGCGAACATAAACGATTACGAGGCGTTTGTCAATTGCCCAACCAAACATCTACAATAAAGTAAAGTGCGCCGTTCGCTTATTGAATCCAGCGTTAAAAATCATACAGCGCTTGATTAGCCTAGTCACAGCGAGTTGCTTTTAGAGAGGGGACCAATACAGCGTTATTGCTCCACACCGTTCACGAATAACTAGTGTGTTTTCCTGCCAAATGCCGCAATTATCACCATCTCTCTCGCAAATATCAGTATCCGAAACGAGATAATAAGGTGTGAAGATCGACAGTGCACTAATAAATCGACAAAGCCGCAATTGCATTCGTACACAGTCTTAATTGATTCATTAAACAGATTCTACAAATCTCTAAACATTGTTACAGTTTCGTAAATAAATATTAAACTGTTTGGACTTCAAAATAAACCCACGCATCCATAATTAGAACTAGTTTTCAACGCAACATTACTCAAAACTCGGTAATTATAATAAACAAAACAATGGACGTTTTCGTGTGATTAACCAGGGTAGCAGAGTTAAGTATAAGAAATTCGCGCAAGTTTTAAATTAAATAAATAACAATGAAGAGTATAAAGTGTGGTAAAGAACTATCGACGATGTTTGGGGAGAGTTCGGACGAAGGCAACTTTGTGAAGACACCGGTGCCGTTGTCTAAATCTCCGACAAGCGCGCAAAAGTCACCGTCGATAAGAAACATGACGCAGACTGTTATCGTTTCGTTGAGAGAAGCTATAACACATAACATTACTTACGGTAGGTCCTTTTTGCATTTGCTTGTTTTACTTGTTCCAATTTACATACTCAATTGTTTTATTGGTACAATATTATATATTAATGATCATTGTGAATAAGTTTATTATTTTTTATTAATAGCAGAGCATGCATGTAATTGTTTTAATTATATTAATTATCTTCTTATGGTGTGTATTCTTTTTAAAATATTTGAAGAGTTTTGAAGGCTTTTTGTTGATATGATTTATGTTTATGGTTGCCTATGTCAAACACTGGTTTCAGTGGTCGGTAAAGGTGTATGACAAGTTGCCTAACGCAACATGTTGTTTTAAAGTTCGTTTTGCAGCATTCAAGTCGTGTCGGTAATATATTTTTATTATTTCCTTATAATTTAATTTAAAACACATGTAAGTGAAAGATATCATTTTGTTTTAAATATTGCCTTTATTTTTATATTGGCAAATACTTATATATACTCAATATGTAGTATACTTTGTATTTGGGTGTTGATTTCGTGTTCCACAAACCTCCAACAATGGCCACGATCGCAAATATTCTCACCATTCTTACGCATGGCGATAACGGCACCTTTTTTCAATCGTATCTATTTGAAACGCGAACACGCTGTAAGCAGCTGATCCGTGCCGCATTTTCTACATCTTCCCCGCCTTGCCACCGTTTTCCTACAAATAACAACCTTGGGGATAACGTAGAGCACGATATGTATACAAAATCGTTAAACAAGTTAACATCGCTTTATTGAGCAGCTATCTGCTAGTAACTGATGAAATAAATGAAGCAAATGAAAGCGATGTTTTAAACAAGTTCCAGTAAGTACATTTTTGAATTGATAATTGATTACGATCAATCAGTAAATTGCGAGAATATTGGAATTAATATTAAAATTATTAATAAGGAAATTCAGTGATTAATTTTAATTTGATTTCATAACGGTTTACGCAAGTTAAAAAGGGCGAGTTGTGCATTTGTGAAAACATTCATGTAGCTACAAAAACCCAACGCGCGAGTAGGCCACTTCTCGAGTGGAGCGCATTGTGGTGCGGTGGGTTCGAAACATGCTTCGGTTTAAAATCAGCTGTTTCCGTAGTAAAGCACCGCCAATATGTATGCGTCGTGAATGTATGAGTGTCGCGTTGGGAAACAACACAACTCTAGTAAACTACAGGCTGTTGCTGTTGGCAAGTTTGTGTGTTGGTTCGATTCGGCTGCTGGTGGGGCTCGTGAGTCTCGCGTGCTCTCTCGAACAACATACCGTTCGTTCGGAGGCTTCTCCACCGCCGCACCGCGATGCCATGCTCGGCGTAACACAAAAACATGGTGGAACTTCGAGGCCGAAACCTAGAACCCGAAAACGTACGAAGCAGCGCCGCGCGCACACAGCGTGTGCACGCCGCTTCGCACTCGCTCGTGCATTTCAGTAACCGACCGTATGTTGTCGGGAGAGCGTGTTCCGCTGGCAGTATGCGTCGCGCGGATTGATCACATAAACACGCATCAACCACACTCACTCCCTCGGCTCCGTGTGGTGTCTGCATTTGAATTCGGTTGTATGCAGAGACTTTCTGGTCGTGTTTGCAGCCGGTCGAAACGTGCCCGCATCGCGCCGTCTGCGCACGGATTTCCATCTGGAGCGCCGCTTTCGTCACGTTGGCGACAGTGACCGATTTATTCTCGAGGATTTTTATCGCAGTGCATTAATGAAAAACATCGGGAGCGCTTGAAAACTTGGACTATCATTCGCTCTACCAGTAAGCAACACACTGGGCAGGATAGGAAATAAATATAATGCGTCCCACAGACGCAGGCATGCACAGAGACATAAGTTGCGGCACGCAGCGACAAATGAACTTTGAAGTATCAGTGTAATGTGCCGTAGATGTGCGTCGCGTTAACCTCAATCTTTTTCTGTTGATTCAACGCGGCAACGCTCGATAGCTGCGAGCGTTGAAAAACTTATTTTCAAAAATTTCCCACTGTTTATTTTTACCAGCAAGTCAGTGACAACGCACAGTTAACAACAAACACTAAAACAAAGAAATCTAATTAACAAATGCACACAAATGCAATGCGTGTTGTATCTTTCCGCATAATTCGAAATTTAAACACCAGCCGTTGAGCAGTAACGGTTCGTGCGTGCGCGCTGTATATGTGCATGTGTCAGTGTGTGCGAAGGAACAGCAAGAAACAGAAACAAAGTTTCGTTATTATCGTCATTGCTGAATCAACTGTTTGCTGCGCGCGTGCTGCCCAAAAATCGAGATTACGATGATAGTTTTCCGTCAGCTGTGCAATTCGTACAAACAGGATATCACCATTGTGGTTTAAATTAATCGCCGGGATTACGCGCAGCGAAGGAAAGATGCGCGTCCACAAGAAGACCAAAGAGAGCGGTTTCTTCGAAGTCGATTCGGACACCGACATGGGCAAGGCAATCAAAAGGACCAAAGTTTGTGATAAGATCGAGTACACGCCGGAGGAGCTCGAAACCCATATTCGGCCGACATGCAATTCAGAAAGAGGTTCGTAACAATATATTTCTTAGTACTGCATTCACATGTTGAGAGAATTGTAATGTTGTATTATGTCACAACGGAGCAAGGACGCTGCTGTATTATAATGAACAGCTGATTCCATGGTAACTGACGTTGTTGAATGTAGACAAATCGGTGATGATTATGAACATGGTCATGAAACTATTTCATGAATATTTAGTATTTTGATTTATTACGATTTAAGGATCACCTTGTAATAAATATCAGCTGTTTTCAATGAGTCTGCACTCGCAGCGATTTGTCAGAATGTTGGTTGGGTAAAATTTTGCAAAAGCAAGAGTACGTGATCAATAAATAAAACCTCTCTGGCGGTATACCTAGTTATATTACTCTCATAATTCAAGTGAAAGGGGCCCTCGCACTTTCTGATCCGTCCGCGGTGAAGAATCTAAATCCGCACGCCAAGGGGTCGTTCGAAGGCGAAGGTAGAAAAATAAAACATGGCCGTTTGCGCGCGTGCACCTTTTGCCATTTTTGCAATAGAATAAAGAAAAAGGACACAGCCCAACCGGTTGGGTGTGCTTATATATATATATATCGGTAGGCGATGTGAAGATGTGCGCTTGACGATCAGGGGTCGAGGGTGACTCTCGCAAACAACCGCGTTTTGTTAGAAAATATTTAACATAATTCCAAAAACGCACAGCGGGAAATTAGCTAACAACACGGCTGAATATCAAATACTCGAATTTTAAGCGGCGAACCCTTTTTGGCCCATAAACGCGCACGATCAATGTTCTAAATGTCAAACAATGTGGAGCAGTTGTCTCCGACCACGGTAATCACAGAGTCTGAGCATAAAAATTGGTTGCGCCACCAGCCAGCGAACGATAACAGGTTCACGTTGTCATTATCAACCGGTGTTGGCCTTGTTTTTGTTGTATATTAATTTTCTTTCGCTGTGCCAAGCGCGGTGCATACAAAAATATTGAGGAATTTGTATGAATTAATGAATTGACAAATACGAACACCATCAGTGAGCGTGTGTGGTAGTGGTGGTTGGCTTGGCCGCAACGCCCGTGACTTGTTTTTGTTTTCGCACAAGGCGAGCTCAAATATTGAAACATTTTTATTTATCATATTATAGCGGTTTGCGCATGAAAACAAATCTTTAACGATACAATTCATTCTTGTTTTTATGTTATTATTTCATTTTATAAGACCTGAGACGTAGATACTTTGATTTGTTACATTTACTCGGTGTGAGCGTTCTCAGTATTCGCGTGTTTGTCAAATAAAAGATTAGCACAATTTACATTGGAATATTGGCTCTGCCATTTTGTTGAATTTTTCCACAATCAGCGAAACCGATAAAATTAAATCAATTTCAATAAAAACATAAACATTGATGCCTTTGTGTGAGGCCTTTGTTCTGTTGTAACTGATTTTCGATTTGTACTTGTTTAGCTTGTTTGTTTTTGTTATCTGTACATCGTGTGCTTAATTTGCTTCACGTTCTTTGTTAATTATTGTGTTATCGGCGTGACAGTAAAGTTATCGAACATACTTCACAGTTGTGAGGGGATTGGTGACCTCGAAATGTTCAAGAACATCAAGAATATTACCTAAAACACTTCAACTTTTTTTGAAATATATTTTTGGTCGATAATAAAGTCGATAGAGGAAGTTGAAAATCGAAAATCAGCTGATTTTTATTATTGTCGATATATAGCGAGATTAAGTGGTTTTAGAACTGATAATTCCTACTGCAAAGGAATTATTGTATACATTTACCTTTAGTACAGTTAAATAAATTTGATACACGCGCTGATGATTTGAAACATTCCGATGCGTTTAAAAATATATGCATTACAAGTTGTAAATTGTTTGGAAACTTGTTTGATATTCGTGGATATGCATCGTCAAAACATCAACAAAAAGTGAACATAAAACATTCTTGTACATCCGCGCATAGTCTCTTTGAAAGTCCTCAAAATATAATAATAGTTGCAATGCGCATCGTAATTGTTTGTATTTTTATGTTATTTAAAATTCTTTACTATAATTATAAATACTTTGAAGTAATGCAAGCGAGGTTAATGCATTAAGGTTGGAGCAATTATGATGCCGGCAAAAAGTGTAGAAAAACTAAATAGAAAATTATAATTGTACGCATCACGATGGCGGTTAATATTCAAATATTTACTCAAATGATAATTTCATCCTCGGTTAATTACAATTATCATCATGGACGTATTTTTTTTATCAAAGCTGTCGAGTTTTCATCCACTCAGTATCAGTTTTAACAGTTTTTTGTTCGCATAAAATGTTTTAATTGCTATCTCGATTCATTGAACGATGGAGAATCCAACAATTATTTAGATTATGCGATTGGCAAATGTAGTTATCGTGCGCGCAAAATGCAAAACCGTTTGTTATTTTAATCCGTATTATTATTCATTATTGAAATTCAGGAGATACACGTGCCTGAAATCGATACACATGCGCTTTGTTCGCTTGCCAACTATTTGCATTAGCGACTCCTCTGCTGGCTTTGAGCAGACTGTATATAGTCGATTATGCAGTGATATCTAATAGTTCTTGCGACCATTATAACATGTGAAGTAATCACAAGAACGAACAAATCAAGGCCGCAAAGTTTATAACTAGCACTCCCAACATTGAAAACCGCCGCAACCTCGACGTCTTTCAGACCTCAGAGAACTTGTCGTGGGGAATGATTCCGCCTGCATTATGCTATTATGTAATTGACATTGCACGGAATAAGTTTGCTTGGCGAAATTCAATTAGCGCACACGCAGAATGAATAATATGCATTCAACAGTTTCAAACGGAACAATTTGAATGTATGTGTATGTGTGCGGGTTTTTATACAGCTTGAATTGGAATTATGATGAGGAATTAATTTGTCATTGTTTATGACGTTTTCTACGTAATAACCAGTTGACAGCGACAAAAGTCTAGTGTAATACGCGTCTACATCTGAAGCAAACATCTACCGAGTTTTAAAAAATAAGTTAATTGTTATCAATACCACATGACGAGAAAAAGATGCGAAAACGAGAACGAGATAACTGGTACGTGTGGTTATTTAGTTTTTATCGCTATTACCTACACGATGAAAATGTTGGTTGGTGGTTTAATTTAAAACTGAATGGCGTCTAACTTGATGAAGGTAGTAAATAAAGGCCTTGTTCATGGAAGCGGCGCCTGCCTTGCTTGCTGGCTGGCTGTGTGCGCGAGTAAATATATTGGAGATTTGCGCGTGCGTGCCCGGTTTGATACCACCGACCGACCGGGGTTCCCGTTCGCGACGAGCGTACATGAAACGTACTCGATTCGACGACGAGCGTAAGACGAACAGCGTTCGAAGTGTGTCAATGTTAGGTGCTAAGGTCGTATCATATCAGTGTGGTGCTTATTACCATATGACATTATTTCCACTTGTCAGTTTGTCTTCTACATGCAATTCAACGCGCCGCGGTGGCAGAATCGCCAGAATTTAATTAATAAACGCCGATGTAAACAGCGCCAGCGCATTCCTTTGGTGCATACATACATTATTGGCATTTAATAACATGCCAATTCAATCTAGGTTTGCGTATATTTAGACGCGTCTTTTTGAGAACTTTTTTGTGCAAGTCATATAATTATTTAGGTGGATCAATAATTTGCTTGAAAATTATGGGTTTTCTTTTCGTTTAAGGCTAACAATCCAAAGAGATTATTTAAGTAGATGTTTTTGACATTTGACTATTGCTTAATTTGTCTTAAGTTGTTATCATGGGGGAATTAAAAAGTTTCTTTGTCATGTAGTCTAAAATTGTAGCCATTGTTGCGATTATTTATAAACTAAAACGTAAATCCTTTGTATACGAGTAAATTGCTTTTGCTTACGCATTGTTTCAAATACTTGACAATTTAACGAAAACACTTTTTTGCGCCAGACTGCTTGGTAATTGCGCACGCATAAATTTTTTTACGCACAATTTCGAGTCGAAAGTTTACTTTTTATTGCGAATGCGTCAATGCGTACACTACATTGATGCTTGTGAGTGTGTTTGTGTGGAATGTCTCGATGTATTCGATTGACATTGCACAATTAAGCTGCTTTGTTTCGGCATATTACTCTAATCGCTGGTTGGTTGTCTGCTTGTCTATGAAGTCTAGAGTCTAGACCTCTAATTATCGACACTTTTTTGTTTTTCTAAATATTTGTCGTTGTTTTTTAGGTTTACGAGAAATCGTTTAGAAAATTTTGGTAGCGATTAGATAAATGTTGAACAATTTATGTTTTGCTTTCAATATTTGTTTGTTTTCGAACGAAGTTTGCGAAGTTTCCAAGTAATATTCGCACAAGTAGACTTTTAACTCGACTATTGTCATTACCATAAACATATTCGTTTGGTGTGCATGTATACAAATATAATAAATTGAACTTTGTTTGGGAGACATGTTGTCACATTCTTTTGGATGTTTCAAAATGCCGCTTTATTGTTTGTGGTTGTAATTTATTTAATTTAGCCGCATGCCAAATTGATATCGCGGAATATAGGCAAAGCACGTGCTTTATCGCTGATAGGGACCTACATCGTGGTTACACCTATGCATAACATAACTCGTAACTGTATCTGCGCGCATGTGTGAGTGAATTTATATCTGTGAGACGCTCATACGGTGTGTTTTTGGAAGTTTTTGGAATTTCTCAACGATGAGAGAATACCACAAGGAAAGAGCCACGGGATTTGATGATGCTTGCATTCAATCTAGGTAGTAATATTTGAGATAGATGAGTGGATAGTATTCGTTTAGAGATAGAGTGTTCCGTGTTTTTATTCTGGTGGCGTTGCGCAACGAGATACGAAATACCTGTAGTAACAAATTGTATGCACGTTTAAATAAATACGGATGGTATAATATACTCTGGTGGACTGTGGCCGGAGTATGCACACTCGCCGTGTCGCGCCGCTACACTCTATGCACCTTCATAAGTAAGCTTGTTGTTGTTAGTGTTCCATACATACTTCATTAACCAGTCGCGACTACTCGCAAACTTTAGTGCACAGTACGCCAGGCCGTTTGTCTCGCCAAGCAGCAGGAGACCGCCATTATACACTGTAATATTATGCACTTTAGGTTATTATGACTGCTCTGGGTGGTAATCCAAATAATCGAAAATCGAATGGTAAATTACGACGAGGAGCGTAATGTCGCTGAGGCAATTGTTGTTTTTCTCTGAATCTATGCCATTTGCATTCACTGATTTGTGCGTAAATCTCTTTTGAGCGTTGTTTCGAAGTCGGCGGCAATTGAGTTGCAAATAAATTGTTTGTGTACACATTTAGTGGCATTTAAATTCTATATTTATTTGTCAATGACATGAATAGTCTAGGCATGTGTACGCTCCGGCTGTCTGTTGACTGATTACAAGTGCATTAATTAAAAATAGAAAGTGCAACCACGATGATAACACATAACATGACTATGAACAAGCAACAATGCTAGCGACAAATCAATACACACTTTCAAAATCGCGTGCGGTTGAAATAACATGTTTTGTGTTGTTGCTTTTTTTTGTGGGTTGAACTTTGGGCTCATAAAATTTTATATTTTAAAGGATGGAATTTGTAATTATTTTTTTTTTGTCAAAAATTTAATTGACATTAGATAGCATGTTTAATATAATACACTTGCTGTGTGCTCTCAGTTGACGCATTTCAATGCGTTTGTCGCCTCTTGGTGCCCGATTACTGAATGTCGAACGAGTTAAAAATAACACCAACTGTGTGTACGCGTTGGCTTAATCGAGATCAGTGTCGGATCGTATCGTTCGTGTGGGATGATCTCATTATCAGCATTGGTAACCACACGAGAAGTTCTCTTCACTTGTTGCAGTTACTAATTTGCTTGCTATTAATTAGATATTTGAATATCTACAACTTTGGCCTTCATCTTGGGCATTGCGTGTTTTGAATAAATGGGCGCAAGTTGTGGGATTTTGTGGTAGACATATTCATGAAAACGAATCACCCCCTCGTCTCTAATCGCGCGAGTGGAGCACGTAACAAATGTTGGGAGTGTTTGTCGTTTAGAAGGGTGAACGACTGCGCCGGATGTATCGGGAAGCGACGAAATCGGGTTTGCGTTACATCGCCGCGTCGATTGTGCGCGCGCCCGCCACTCGCATTGTTGCTCTCTGCGTTTCCTCCGTGTCACACGGCCATACAACGGCACACAACTTCTCCGCGCACGATTTTCGCGCTAGATGAGAGAAGAGAGCTTCTTGTTGTAAGGGTCAATATGCACATTAAGCGTAACGTAACGAAACGTAAGCCAGCATATAGGTAACATATGTTTTGCGAACACAAAAGATTTTCTACGCCACACCGCGTTACGTTTACATATGTGATGCGCATACTTTTCACTCCTCTTCTGCTTTGATATTCCTGCGTGCACGCGCGGAAGCTCTGCGGCTGCGGCCAAAAGGGCATTGTGCAGGCAGGCAACAAAGTTTCACAACGGCGCGGAATCATAAACAAAGTTTATCACGAATGTTGTTAGCTAGTCGAATGGCATACCATGCGTATCGTCGTCGTTAAGTCAATAGCGATAAACGACACATATATGCTATGTGCGACTGTTGTTGTTGTTAACTATTGCGTTTAGTTTAAGGCATTTTAATGTTTCTTTAAGTTGATGCATCTTGTGGTAATTGCTGATGGACGGTTGGAATGCGCGCGATGTAAGAAAAGTGGAATGCTGCAAGGACTGTGCCGCGGTTGACGATTAGCAATGGGAGGCCGGCGAGAGGGCCCATCTGCAATTTAAATTTGATCGCGCTCGAATTAATAAGCATAATTCAGAATTCACATTTGATTTGAGTACGCGCAGAGTACGCCCTTGGTGTTACACAACGTTTGTTCACGTAACACATTTATCTACATTGAATTGAATGTGTGGTAGACGATGTTAGAGGAGCGTGGACGCTTGGGCAGAGGCCGAGCACGCTTTGATGGAATGTGGGTTATTTGTTATTAACGTCGACGAATCGAGAATGTGTCAACTTCAGATTGTGGCGTTAATGTTAGAATGATAGTTGGTATCGCTTCAAGTGGGAAATGAACTGGTGTCGCGCAGAGTCTAAATGATTTATTTTTCTTTAACGAACTTGATTTCGTATCAATCTCTACAGTCGAGTAATCAATGTTTGAAATGCATTCCGGTAGTTTGTTGCAGTTCGTAAACATTGCATTCCATATTACTTACAGTTTGATGCATAATAATATGTGTGGTAAACTAATCCATATCAAATGGCACATGCGTACAAGTTGTGCATGCATAGTTTATATGCTGTTCTGGTGGTCGGGAGTATTCACATTGGCGCAATTACCGTAACGGCTACTGTTTCTTCTTCCAATGATTCGCTGAGTTTTGTTGCGTTTTTTCTTGCGTCGTTCCGTTGCGTACCTTTGAGTTACGCAAATGAGTGACATTTGTATTATTGGGAGGTAATGACAGTGAGACCGCACTCGCCGTGAAATTGTTAGCGATGATTATTACGTTCAGCGCGCCCGGAACCTATCCATTTTCCTATCAGTTTCCGTTTTGAATCACACTTGCGCGCACAAGAAAAGCAGTCGCGCGTTGTGTTTTAAATTCGCTTGTTAGACGCGAATTGCCGAGATCGTGGTCATGATGAACGGAAATCATACATATTTTAAAGAGCACTGCATACACATTTGCAGTTGAAGGAAAATACAGTGTTTATTTATGCGATTTCTTAACTGCAAAGAAAATGGAAACCTAACAAATTAAAATAGCTATTTGCTGATGGGATGGAAGCATCGAAAAAGTTGTTGCCATGTTGCGTGGAATTTGAATAATTAGCTTTTTTATAGACAATATTTTGAAAGGCAATTACGCACAATGAATAAATGCATTTTGCGGCATTTGATTTGTTGTTGTTTGTTTTGTTGACATACAATTAGGTATTGCGTTCATGTGTGCGTCTGACGGCGTAATTTATAAGCAGTACATTTTATCGTCATCACAAAATGCATACATTTTCGAATTGCTTAACGGGTTTGCGAGCATGCTTCGCATAACATAAATGCTTTCAAATAAGCTACCAACCATTTTCTTTGCGGATTGTAATTTCTTGCGTCCATGTTAATTTTGCTTGCAGATTTGCAATGAAATTGTTGCGTTCCAATATTATTATGCGCATACAATTCAGATATTTTTCTATAACATTTTTGCTTTGAATGAGGAATTTTCCACGCAGGAAATACTCTAGTTCTTATTATAGTGTGTGCTCACGAGCGAAATCATTAATTTGGCTTTATTTTGTTTCAGTAAACCTTTCCGGTGCAGAAAGGGTCGACATGTCTCAGTTCGACCTTCTCAAAGTACTAGGAACTGGCGGTGAGTAATGAAAGAACTATGTAACCAATTTTCTGTGTGCCTGTGTGTGGATTGCAAGCAGAACGCGTTAAATTACATTTCATTCAGGGTCATTTTATCTTAGTATTCTTCCTATTATTGCATCAATGATTGGTAAAAGTGCACATTTTGATATTATATCGAAGGTCATTAAATTGCTTCATTTTCGCCACTATTACACGGGATTACATTGTTACACTCTTCCATTTTATGGTTTTATTTTATCCTTGAACAAGTCATCTATTCGTAGGGTTGCGGAGATAATAATACAATGCAGAATTGCAAATTAGCGTCGGTAAATTTGTTTTTGCTGGTTTAGTTGAGCAAAGTTCAACTAATTCCAAATGCGCCCCACTGTAAAAGCTCAATACAAATATTCTGACAATCTGGACTCATGCTGACTGTGGTCCTATGGATTTTTTTACGACGTGAGAAAGGCATCTAATCTTTTGTTATGCGCCAGCGAGGTAGGTAGACACGAGTCCATAATGTTGAAGGAAAGTCCCCGCCGCGCACCAGATAGAGATGGCTGAATAATCTCAAAGGTGATTCGGTGTCCAACGATCAACAGCGAAGCATCGAAACAAGATGTAACAAAAACTTATTTCCGCTTGTTGCACTGCTCGTCCGTCGCCGGGTTTCATGCGCCTGGGAGAGATAACAGTACAGCGTGGAGCCATACGGAGCTTCCGTGGAATTTAGTACAACATAATTTCAATTTGGTGCTTGGTTGTTTTTTAAGCGCTTACTCAATATTGTTAACGTTTCGGTGTTTCCCGTCGGTATTTAATATGCTATGCTACACGATGCATATATGCGTTTAGTTAGGAAAGTTCGGATTATCCAATCGCCGGTGTCGCGACGTGACTAATATCACGTTTCCACTAATGTGGCGTATTTCACTTGGACCGACTCTGAGTCGGCTGGACTAATTGCAGCCGAGCAAAAACATTATGTGCCAATTCCGTATTTGCACACACATGCGCCAATTAAGCGATTCGATGAAGCGTGTCGTCCCTTTACATTGTGGAGGTAATAATCGCATGTGGAAGCACTTGGTTTAATAACTGCATTAATAATCTATCGGTGCACATGGTGAGCTCGTAGGAAAAGGCTAAAGCCCGTAATAAATTAATTCGTATATTAGAATTGCGCGCCGCATGTCTCGGCATTGCGCTGTGAGTGTGCTACAGCTGTGTGGCTTAATGACTTTGATCGGAAGAAAAAGTCAAAACTCAAATCTCAGGTCTTAATTAGCAGCGGCATTATTATGTCGTTGTCGGATGTAATGCGCTGTTGAAATTACCGTTGCGGCTTGAATTTTATTGTTCATACCTGCCAGCCGTCGTCGTGGTATAGGTTTGATGAGTCGGTACTAATGTTACACTAGTTAGATTTTATTTGTGCGCGTCTGTCATAAGAAGTTATGAAAATATCTGCAATTAAAAGTGTGCGTGTGATAATGGGGGGAATTGTAATATATGTGTATGTCTATAAATGCGTTACAAAAGTGCATATTTAACTCGGCTAACAAAGACCTTAATAATAACGGCATCACTTGAACGAGGCGCATCAACATCACATAGCATCAATTCAGACGACGACGACGACGGTGCAGGCGCAGAGTTGAAACACCGGGGAGACACACCGTGCGAGTTATTCGCAGACGTCTTTGTTATCGTTGCAATTGCGCGTATCCAAGCTTTTAAATATGTTTGGAGGATTTTCCATCTGCGCATGCGGCTTGGACAGAAAGAAAATGAAAATCAAAGCGACTGGTGATGCCACTTTTTTTGCTAGAATTTATAACAGCTTAACGGAAAATTCCCCGAAGATATTTGGGCATGCGATTCTGAATATTTTGAGTTTGTTGCATTCCAAGAAAATTTAGCTGATTATTTTCCTTGGCTGGCATTTAAAGTCTTGTGGGAAGTTCGATGAGTGTGATTACTAAATCCGGTTTCAGCACATCTCTCCATTCATCACATGTTCATTTACTTACTAGCCGGCGTAAACAGTTGATTTATTAAGTGAGTGTGTTGGTGTGTTTTCAATATAAATCTGCAATTAATTTCTGTTTACTGTTGTTGTTGTTATAAGTTAGTTGGAATTGTCGGAAGGCAAAAACCGAAATTGTGGAGTGAACGACCTGCGAGGATGGCTGCAGATCGTTGGCCGCTATGCAGGGATATCTGTCTGTGCTGGCTGGCTGTTTGCGTGTGCTTTTGCCGGGTCGGTTCGTTCGGTGCGCGCGCGTTGCTCTCCATCCTCGTGTGTCCATCCCATCGCGCCCGCCGCCGAGCTGCTGCTGTTGCTTTTGCTCGGCTTGTGGACGACGATGGCGAAGAAGGCGAGGAGTGTGTGCTTGCGGCGCGCCGGTCGCAGGCCCTGTCTGCTGGCCGGCATTGAGGAGTCACCTGCTGGTCATTCTCCTACATTTTATAACCGGCGATTAAATCGTGTTTTCCCATCGCGCCGTGGTGACTCTATTCCGGGCCGCGATCAAAAGAACTCGCCTGTTTTGGGATTGTGTGTGATGTTTAGATGAATATCGCAAATATTTGGAGGTTTATGAGCATGCCATGTGATTAATTCCGCTACCGTTCATTAACAGAGTCGTAAACGAGTTTTGGTTGTGATATATTATCGGCAAATTGGCTCATTATTTTGATTTATCAAGTGCTATAGATGCAGGGCTTTTACGATATTTTAATTGGGATTATTAATGATTAGCTGGAATACTATTTAAGTTTCAAATGTAATTTTTCTATTTATAAATTAATTGCGGTTTGATAAGCAATTGTCATACGAATAATGTAGTTGACGTCAGTTTGACCGATTTGCGAAGCATCGGACGTGCGTAGATGTAGGAGTTGAAGGCGAACATCCCTCGTGCCCAACGACCCAAAAGAGGGGCGGGAGGATAGGTAGAACGAGTGGCGCACGGCGCGCTGGTGTTTTATATCAGCAGACTACCCGCTAAAAGTGGTGGGGGTATCGGTAGTTAGGTGACACACCTGGCTAATGTACCTGGATGTTTTTTGAAAGCAGAAGTGGGTGTGTACTTTCTCCTACGTCTTTTCGCAAGTTGTTAAGTTTAATAGTTTGTCTCTTTATGATTGTTATTTTCAGTTCAGATTTTTTTGTTGGGCAGCGATCGAATTTCATTGCACGCTATTTTTAGGCGCCATTCTCGCGAACTATTTTTCGTCTATTCATATAATTATCGCAACAGAGGACGTTTGCTTATAGTCATATTCATTTCGTGTATTTTTATGCCACTGCGCTGCATTTTGTTCGTAATTTTTCTGTGTCGTTTAACATCTTAATAAATGCTAGCCGAACGCACTGAAAAATCTTGAGCGCTTGCCAGTGGGTTTTTTTCGGACCGCCAAACACACACACCAGCTCACTGTCAAGCGCCGTCTTCTTCAATTCGCTGCTCAACCTTAAAATTCTTTCTTCGCCAAATCCCTGGCGCGCTATCTTGAGAAATTACACCGGTTTTTCGTATTTAAACAAATTCATCTCAGCAAATTCCATTAAAGTATGAGTTCTATAGCAAACAACCGTTAATATCGTACTTTCGATGTTAAGCTCACACTGTACGCTATAAACAATTTACATTTTTGAATATTTGATAGTTCAACTAGCTTTAAACAATGGCGCGGCGAAGGTATATGCTTGAATTTGCTTGTAAATTATAAGAATACTTCCGGTTTTCAATGCTTCGGTATTCGTAGAAGGTATAAAAAAGCATGAATATTCATCAAACGCAGGGAACACGAAAAGGCTTGAAAATTGGGAGAAGGGTAGATAGATACATTTTCACAATTCGTCAACAATCCTGCAACATTGAAATTTAAAACGACCGATTAGTGGTAACCTTTTGGGTTGAGGTTAAAGTTCATGCGACATTGGAAAACAATTTTAATGATCATCCTTGTAATTTATTCAGCTGTTCAGCACTTTGATTATGTGCTTAAAGTTGTACCGAAACAAGGCTGGCTCTTAACCAGCTAAATTTATTTTACGACGTTCTCTCTATTACGGTATTGAATAATGGAGTTTGCAGTTTTTCTACAATAAACTTGTAAGTACTTAAATTTAATTGCAAAATAATGCAATTAATAAGTAATCGAGTGCCGTATATTATCAGGATTTGTTATTAATCAATGTTTTTTCTACTTAAATAACGCAAAGTTTTTATATTATTGCATAATGTCAATGACAGACTGAATTGGAGTGATATCGGAAACCGCATGCGTTCTAACGCACTCCGTTTCCTATAAACTCGGCCAGGTGAGGTGAAAACAAATTGATCGTCGGCACGTGCGAAGGTGAAATCCATCTGCGAATATTCCACCTCAAACGAGCTTTGCGCACAACCAGCACACATGCGCGGTGGGCGCGAACACGCTTTGATGCAAACAAACATGATCAATTGTTTTTTATTTTCCAATTTTGATATTGCATAAAAGACAAGGCCGGAAAACACATTTACATTATGATGTTCGAAGGATTTTTGAAAATATTTGAAGTTTACTTGTATAGTTTTTTTAGGACAATTACGACTTTCGGGTAATTAAGCGACGACTAATTAGCGAAGCCATTAAAACTAGTGCACACGCAGGCTGTTTCAAGTTTGTACGGACATGCCAAACGCACAAAGAGGAAGCGGTTTAAATAACTAACTGTCTTTAAGGTTTATTTTGTTAAAATTTGTTTCGACTCACAGTTTATGATAATACTTGCGCTTACAATTATGACAGTAAATTTATGCTTTAATTGCTTGCACTTGGAACAGGAGAAAAAATGAAACTAATCGTTTACAGGAATACCATTTTCTTTTGTGTTGTAATCTTTTTATGTAATCAACTTATGTCCACTACATTTTTCTAGGTGTGAAGTAATGTGTATTTATTGGAGGTGTCTTCACGCTAGTGCAGGGCACTGATTATGGGCGTATATTGTGTATTTAGGAATAATAGAGAATTTTACTGTAGAAGTAGATATTGTAACTACCTGTATTTACGTGCGGATGTGTTTACATGCGTATGTGTGTGTACATGCCATGCCATACAAGTTGACTGGAATGCGAGCATAAGGCACACATGTAGTAATTTTTCAGCGGAGGGCAACGACTTTTTATATTGTAGTTATTTTAAGTAAAGAATCGTACTTACGAAATGCTGATATCTTGCACGTCTGTGTACGTTATTTATATGCTTGCAATGTCGTGCGAAATTTTATTAATATTTACATCGCTATAGTCGCGGCGCATTAACCTGACGCGTGAATATTATTTTCACAACTTTAGTTTTTAATTAATTACTCGAGAACTATTTAAGTTATAATCATAATTGTTGTACAAGTAGATTTCAGATTAAATTCTATATTAAACAGAGTAATGATTTTGTTGATTAGATTATTTAAGCAAAAGTTATAAATAATTGTAGCAAAAAAAAATAAAAAATTGAAAGAAATTGCCCTGTAACTTTTGATAAAATACTGTTATCAATGGAATTTTTATGTAGGTAATGTAGTATTTCGTACTGAATTAATTTATTAACAATTTTTTGCTGAAATGAGATTGGTTTCTGATTAATTAATTAATAACTATAAATAGCCTAGTGCCGCGTGCGCGCGACATCAGAGCGACGTAACTATATAACTATTCATTACACGTGCTGCGATTGCAACTAGTTAGCAGTTACTAGTTAGTGACCATGATTACTACTTGAGCAACACGCGCGTTAATAAATAATTTTATCTATGTAAAATTTATTGCAGATTTTGCAAGTTTTCCGGTCCTCTCGATATCAAACGTGCAATGTTTTATGTTTTAGAATATTTTATGTGATATTGATGCAAACACGAAAATGCATGCGCCGTTAATTAGTAAATTGGTACCTGCAATTGAATGTTTCACGTAATTAATCTTTGAAAAGCGTCCAGAGTGGGACACTTAAATTGCTTATAATTGGTATGCCAACGTGTAATTGTGAAAGCTCAGCCTACTAGGCGATTGGAGATCGAAGTGAAAAACAGATGCAACAAATACGCGACGAGCGCACGCGCGCTTGCGCGAGCAGATTGTGTAAAGGATGTAGATGCACGACTGGATGTTTATTATGTGCTCAACGTGGCAAGACGCGACATAAGTTTAAATATAGTGACCCGAAAATTCACATTTGAGACCTCAATTTTGTATTTTCCGTTTCTTGATACTTTTTCTCATCTTTTTTATTTCTCGATATTTTTCAACGCTACACAACAGATTTAATTCGCTTCGTGCGTTTGTTTTATTCATTATGCATGTAAACAACTTTATTGTTTAAATATAATGTTTTTAAAATATCTATCTATGTAAAGTACACTGCGCACATTTGTTGATACGATTGTTTGTTGTCTGTTACAGCTTATGGCAAAGTTTTCCTCGTGCGGAAACGCGGCGGCTCCGACAACGGTCGCCTCTACGCAATGAAAGTCCTCAAAAAGGCTACCATCGTGCAGAAGAAGAAGACGACCGAACACACCAAGACTGAGCGGCAGGTCCTCGAAGCCGTCCGTGATAATCCTTTCCTAGTTACCTTGCACTATGCCTTCCAGACTGATGCCAAACTTCATTTAATTTTAGGTAAGTTATTCACATTTAAATATTATCCAAATCAAGACATTTAAATTAATCTGATTTATGTATTCAATTACTGATTAGTGTTGTCGTGTTTATAACCAGGTAGTTATGAATCTCAATCAGATAAAATTCAAATTGAAACACTCTATTCAGCTATTCAAGCATAAACAAATAGAAATCGAATTAATTAACACTCTAACTGGTTGCTTGTACTTGGTAAAAAGCATAACAGTCTAGCTTTGGATGGTTTCTCAGCGGTTATCGATTTGAGTCGAATTGACTTTTATAGGTGTTCGTCACGGTCGTTCCCTTCAACAAGTCACATTCGATATGGCAAAAACGATACAAAGCGATCTTAAGATTTGTTAACTGTTTGATCCGATTAAACAGGGTGGTCTTAATTCAGTTTTGGCGCCTCTTCATTCTTGCTCCATCGAAATAATCAAATTACTGCTGCAACAACTTCTTGCATGCATGACTTCTGGGTTTTGCGACCGTGTAAACAGTTTATGGGCCGTTTTATGTCACTTTGACATTTTCGCATAAATCAACAAGGATTATGACTTGATGACTCTTTATATTGCTTAATAAATTTTAACAACATGGTACTCCTTTCTAAAATAGCACTAGGCGCATGATATATCACAAAGAATATATCAAGTTGATTAAAACTATTCTTGAAGATTACGGAGTACGTCTCTGCGAGACGGTAATATTGGTTTGTGCGCGTAATAGGTTTATGCGTAACATTTTGCAATATTAATCAGGTAATTGAGAGATTGTTGGAGCATTTCGCATGCCGTCGACGGCAGGCAAGTGACAAGCGTTTAACCTTATTTGCGAAGAAATGTTCTACCAGAATAGGATTTGGCTTGGCTGAATGGCGGTTTTTGTTATGGTTTTAATTTTAGAAAAGAGAAAGTTACACACGGCGCGACTGTTGAGCATTAGTATCAATCTGTGATGGCGGCAGTGGTGGTGCTGGTCGCCGAAGAGTCTAGAAATGTACCAGCAGACTGACTTGCGATGGAAGCGCATGGAAAGTCAGCGTCTTCTGTTCTTGAACACTTTCACTCAAATATTATATTTTTATTCAGGTGTTATGGGTCGCTTTGAATGCGTTGTAGGCGCTAGCGCGCAGATTTGCATCACAGACAACACCATTTGAATAGAATGTCATTGCCTCGGTGTTATTATTATTGTTGCTGTTGCATGCATGGTTAAATAATAAACAATGTTCGGATATTGTCGTTTAAAAGCAATTCTCTCATAGAATTATGTTTTTTTTTTGTGCGTTTTAAGTAAGACATTTAATTCTTTTTATGAATTTATTGCGTCACTGCAACATCTCCAAAATTTGTATGGATGCGTTGAGTCACATGTTTGGACCGTTTTCATCTTGCATGCTTATCGCCGGACCTCACGGAAGAAGCGTGACGCAAAGGATGATTCATCGCGCATTCCGAACAATTCGAGCGATTAAAGTTTTACGCTGAACATTATTGTTTAAAGTACACTGGAGGCATAAACCAGAGTTGATCTTTCATAATATGCTAATATTTTATATATTAACTGAGTCTCCTCTGCACTTTACTCGTAATGCATATCTAACTAGTGTTAGCCAAGACAAATTGAACTTTTTTTTAAATCAAACTGTTTGTGAGCAATTTTAACACGAATGCAAGTAGTTACTTACACACAAGGAAAAGTACAGTTATAATATTATAATATACATTACTCTGAGAACATTTCACTTTTATTCCGGTCTTAATTGTTTCTGGTTTCATCCAACAGTATTAAAACAGTAGCTCTGAGCGCGTCTAGCAGAATACGAACATTGCTCAACAATTTATATGCCGCTAACCAACAATCCAGAAATTGATGCCATCGCCCGTCTGACGCTTTGGCGTCGCCAAGTTGTGGCGGCTTCCGCGGACCGTTAGAAATTGATATAAATGGCGTAACGTTATATGCAAGTTACTCGAGCAAGGAGCCAGGAGGAGTGTTTAGTTAGTTAGTTTAGTAAGTCGATCGCGCGGGTACCGTATGCGTTCGTAAACTTTCTGGAATTGCGAATCACCGCGTGAAAGAAGCGTAATATTACGGTATTTTAATATCAATTTATTTATATTACATATTTATAGATCGCTGCCAAACAGCGAAAGTTTGTTTCGAGCGGCGGGTACGTGCTTAATTGACGGTAGAGTAACCGCATCAGGATTTTACCTTGCAAGAATCTTGTCAGATTCAATTAAATTATACGTCATTAAATAATCCATTCAAAGCAAATGGCTCATAATTAAGATTTACGATTGAAGATGAAAATTTTTGATGTATTGAGAAAAATATTTTGTAATATCATCTGTGCATCTATTGTGATTAGAATAAACATAGAATAAACATATGAAATCTTGCACGTTAACTTATTTTGCGTATATGCATAATGCAGATACGTGATTCTTACATAGGTGTGTGACGAGGATAATAAAAGAACATTTTAGCGGTTTTGAGTGTCCTCGTTCCATTTTTCTCTCCGAAAATAAAACTTTCACTCCATAAATTCAAACATTATATCTCAACGCAATTACATTCTTTGTGCACGCGCACTCTTTTAGGCAGTATGTGTGTTTGTCGTTGTGATTTTTAAACAAAAATAATATAATGACGATTTCAAGTGACAGATTATTTATCTATGATCTAAAATAAAATCTGTTCGCAACTTTCACTTTAATACACTCGTTAAAAGTGTAAAGTCACAAGTCATTATCTGTTTTACCTTGCGATACATTTGAAATTTTTTCAGATGTAATTTTATACTTCATTATGTATTATCATCATCATGTAAGAATAGATGAACATGTGAGAGGATTTTGTTTTTAATTCTGCTGTATAGAACACATTATATTGCATGTATCAGAAAGTGATTTGTATAACTTGTTAATCATGTTTTATTCGTCAGAACGTGTTGTGATTTAAACATAAATAATATTTTATATTTGGTCATGACTTAAATATTACTCGACTGACTGAGTGATGCGGCTGTGATGATTCATTAATTAAGGTTGGGTAATTGAAACAATCCGCTAATAAATTTAGCATCCACATTTGCATGAAAAATGTTGGCGTCGAAAGAGGACGAAAATGCGAAGGTGAAAGAAAAACGATCCGTGTCGACCCGCACTGTTTTCGCATCGTTTGTTCTGCTTTCTGCCCTTGGTTCAACATGCAATACCTATTTACCACCCGCATGTTTAATCATGGCTAATATGTCGTGCACTCGTGAAAACTGAAATTCTTTTTTGTGTTTTACATACATGAATATACCATGGCGGCTTTTTTATTATCCCAAAAAATAAATTAATGATAACACATTAGAGAACAGTGTAAATTAATGATCAAATATTAATTGCTCGCTTGCTTGGTATCGCGCGAGTGCATGCGATTAGCTAATCAAGCCGCAATTAGCGCACGGGCGCACATGATGCCCGCGCGCGCCCGGTCGCGTGGATAGTGCGCAGCTGATTTATTTTTTGCGTACGTCCGAAACGAGTTGCGGTAGGACATGATCTCTAGTCGTGTACGTGGTTTTTTTTATGCGCACATGATGATCCATTCGCACTGCGCTGCCAGGCCTTGAGTGGTACGTTCGTTGGTTGTTTGCGATCGCCGCTTTATTTGTTTATGCGTGGTTGTATATTTAATATGATGGGCACAATAAGTCTGCTAGTCTAGACGGTTGTTTTCTGCTCGATTTTTATCCTGATTTCGATAGAGGACCGTTTCGTGTACCGTTATTACACTTGTGTTGTCACGCTGTTTACATTGAATTCTATTGTTTAGCAATGAGAGTGTGAAAAGCAACATTTTTACACGAAAACGAAAATTTCTGTTCAAAAGTTATTTATATTATTCCAGGACTAAGTAATGACTCAATATTTTTACGATTTTCTCGAGAAAAACATTAAGAAGTATTTTTCAATCAGATTGTTGTCACTACATCAATCATGCGCACCCACACATATCTACAATGTTGCTATGGCAAATGTAATTGATAAATTTTGATTAAATAATATATTTTTTGTTTTTTTGCAGATTACGTAGCTGGAGGTGAACTATTTACACACTTGTACCAAAGAGAGCATTTCAAAGAGCACGAAGTGCGCATCTACATCGGCGAAATTATTTTGGCCCTCGAGCATTTACACTCGGTAAGTGTCCTGAACACAAACTACTCAAAATTCAAAACCGTGTTGTCTGTCATCTACGCCCCCCAACTTGTCACACATGTTCCACGCGCGCGTACTGAGTGGAAATCGGATCACACGAAATTTCCCATCCCGCTTTTCACCCACCCATCTGATGAATTTTAACACGGCGGTGGTTAAAAATAAAATTGATATTTACACCACACTCATACCTGTGTGTGCAGCTAGTCGTGTGCGTGCCTAAATTTTTCGCCGTGTGTTGAAATGTAAACTAAAGTGCGCTGAATTGATGTCAGCATCGGAAATGCTGCGTTAAAACGAAACAGGCCGACATTGCGCGCCGGCAACCAGCACCGATGGGAGATATATAGCCGCATACTTTATTTATACGTGGATGTGGTTGGAATTGTTATTCCGTGGCGAGGTGGTGGTGTGTAGCACTAGTAGCTTATAGCGTATAAATGTCATGGGAATATATCGAACGCCCGGACGGCGAGGATATTCAATACGGTCTTCCTTTTCATCCTATCTCACATCTAGGCTGTTAGGCTTGGTGTGTAATGTAGTAGTTTTGCTTTTTACGCACGGGGATCATAACTAGCTGATCCTCTCGGAATAATACGATTTTAATTCTGGAAAGTTTGGCTGGCTTTCTTCGCACGCTCGATAAAAAAACACACACACGGTTTATTTACATCTCTGGCAAATAAATTAAATCACTTGCAAATGAATGGCGAAAAGTAACAGCAATTATAATGTTTGAGGCATGCGTGAATGCAAACTTTCACTTAAAAATTTAATTATGTGTAATTCATTCGCGAATTAACGCGAACGTTGATATGTTAAATAAGTAAATGATTGCGAATGCGTTTTTTTATCGACTCGCATAAACGTGTATACATTACCAAATAAATACGGAGTGAATGTTGGTTGTGTCAAACTGATAGCACGAATGTGGGTAATTAATTAATTTCGGTTTAAATTGTTTCTCAACCAAAATTTCCGTTGCACGCCTACTACAAAGCCAACAAACGCGAACGGTAAATATAATAAAATGTACGTGCAAATATAATTGCTAGCTGCTTTATTTGGAGAGGTATGTCGAGACGGTTTGCTTTCTGAAAGGTCAGTTTTTACGTGGAAATTGTATTTTTCGTATGTTTGTCGTACATTGTTTTGTTAAGGAGCGAGAATGCCAACAGCTAAATATATCTGATTTGAGACGATTCAAGGAGAAATTAAAAACTGTTTACAGAAAGTAAAGGTTGTTATATTTACTGAGCTTATAAAAGAACAGTATACGACCTGTGTTGGTGGTGTTTTCTATATAAATAATATTTTATTGCATTTTTATATTTACTTACAAGAGTAAGACAGTTCTACAATCAGGAATTAACTGTGCATTATTACATACTTGCTGACGGATTTGATGCTATTTTTTATTGCACAGTTTATGGTTTACTATACAAATATTAATTTAAACTTTTTAATAAAATTGTGCAAATAATGTGTTAAATGTTTTTCTTCTGTCGCGCGGAAAATATTTACACAAGATCAAAATGCACGTTTGCATATCCAATTATTATTACTTTTAAATGCGTTATTACAATAATTATTGCAGAATTGCGCATAAAGTTTGCACACATCATTAAGCGGTGCATATTGTGTCACTTCAAGTACGAAAACGATAATTCTTTTTATATACTCGTATTGTGATGATGTCTGATGTAAAACTTAAGATAATTAACTTTAAAGTGTTGGGCTTAAGTATAAAAGTTTTTTTTACATATTAAAAATAGTAAAAGTAAATTTAATTTACTTGTCACTTTTTATGGGTTTCTAAATATGCTCATGTTATACAATAGTATAATTAATTCATCAGCCTTATTACCTTTAATATAAATACTTTTTGTTTATATTTTGGAAAGTAAAAAATAATCTAATTACTCAACGGTTTATATAATTGCTTGCAAATTACAATTGGCAATTAACACCAAAAATTTTCAATCTACACCTATGAAATCGCTTTCGTTGTAAATTTGATTATCTGCGCTTCTGTAGTTGAGTTTGTTAATTATCTAGTGTGGTTTGTTATTGAATCTATGTGCATTTTAAAAGTAGGTAATTAGGTTGCAACTATAAACTATAATCGACCTTGCTTCGCCGTTAGCTCGCCACCAACACCGCTACCAAGGCAACCACTACTTACGACTACAAATTAACCGACTATTACATTTAGACCATTACGATTTCGCTAGTTAGGAATGCAAACATCTCATCAGAACCAAACACAGATTACACTCGGAATGTATGACTATCTGCTAGCATGCTGATTTTGGTTTGTTGGTATAAAGTTCATTATTCAGATATATTGCAAACATTGTTAGTTTCCTTATTTCTCAAAAATAATTGAAATAAACGAGGAAGTATCGGATATCAGAAACGTGCTTTTGGTACGAATAGTTTGAAAATTAACATTTTTCTAGGTACACAACGTAAGCGCATTTTAAACATTAAAGTTACACGCGGCAATGTTGATGATACAGTGCCATGTTTGGCATATCATCAACAGTTTGCACATACCTTTCCAACCAGTATTTTAAAATATTTCACAAAATAACACGAAAAAGTTATGACTAAAAGTCGAATCTAGGACAACGCTACAAAGTGGGTCATTCGATGATTGCTTTTTAATAATGCAAGTAATTATACTGCATCTAATTCTTCATGAAAGATGAATGACGTTTGTGTTTGTTGGATTCTCGGTTGCAAAATCATCTAAAAATTTCATAATATGCATGTAATTCTACATCAGCAGCCTACAAGCTTCCTTCGTGCGCTTGTTACGACATTTATCATTTTAATTCTCAAATTTAATCATCGTGTAATTTAAGGACAATAGCAGAATTTGTTGCTCATAAAAACCGTCAAAGATACCAATTTGTTCTGGCGTGCGATGGAGATGTTTATATATTTTTCGGAACGTTAATGGTACCGCCTAATATGGCAATACATCTCAAGATGTTAACATTAAGAAAACAACAGACAGCTCGAAATGGGAGCGCGAAGAAAAAATATGAATGAATAATTTTACGCGATCTAAATGAATGGAGCAATGTATGAATGAATGATGCCCACGCAAGGCGACAGGAACTATAAAGCGAATCAAAACGTTGATTACTTGCTCGGATGCTTAAACTGTGTGTTGGCATTCGAGTGTCAGCGGACAACCGAATACCTATGCATTAGTGACTGGAGCGTTAAATTTAAATTGGATTACTCGAATTGTTCGCCTAGAACGGACATTTTATAGTAGCTACTGTCAGATTAACAGTAATTTATTTGTTTATTTATATACAATATCAATTTTATCCACTTTTACTAAAAATTACGAGTGGTAAATTGTTAAATTTGGTCTTTACTTTGTTGTGAAACATCCGCCGTGGTTTGTTTATGGTCTTTCTTTGATTGTTTTAATTTCCCATATGATATTCATTTCATGTGTAAGCTGACGGTGTGATGTGGTGTGGCGTAGGCTCGACTCCAACCGTGCGGTACACTGTCAGCGAAGCCAGGTGTTCCCTATTCAATCGTGTTCGAATGGCGTTAAGTTGCATTGCCACAGATGCACGCGACGGTTGCTTAAAGTGCTTCTCGCTTCTTGCATTATTTCACGTGCGCCCTTCGCCTCGCGACTGCACCTTTGCTTCTCTGCCTCTGAAATTCTGTAGATTTTCTCTCTCGTGGCTGTTGATGTTTCATCACAGCTTAGCAAAGGTATTACCGGACTGACCGCGTACATACGGGGTGAAACGTTTTCCATTTAGTTTAGTCTATAATCTAGACGAGGAAATGCGGAAATTTATGAGTATATCTGCTTCACTCTATGCAACTACTCCTAAACACCTACATCTGAAGCACGTGCATGAACAATTTTTATTTGTAAGCATAGAGCGGCTCAAACAAACGCCCTGTGCCCTGTGTCGTGGCGCACCGGCCAGAATATCGACAGATGTTAAACGAACGTCACACCGACTCGGGCTGATTTTTCTTTGGGTTGGGGCAAGATTGAGCAGAGATCACCAACACATGTGGCTGTGTCTTACAGCAACCTTCTGGTGTCTTCTTAAATAACAAGCCTCATCGGCGCGACGATATAAAATATTGCTCCGGTTCCGAGGAGAAATTATAACTGCCTGGAACTGCATTAACAATGTATGCAGTGGTTGGCCAACGTGTAGGTCAAACGCACAAACTTTTGCTCGTGTCGCACTCGTGCAGCCGTACACGTGTGAGAAAAAATAAATCAGATATAAATATTTAATTGTTTAAGGCATGCTCGATTATATACTTGGTCTGCTTGATTTGTTCGTTTAATTACTGCGATGTTTTTCGATGATGTTCAGCAGTAAGCTTACAAAGGTGCAAGGAGCATCATAACAATTTTGTCTGATCGTTGGCACGCATTTATTGATAATACATTTGGCATTGAACTCAATATACTTCACGTGGGCTCGTTTTTCTGCACGAGCTGACATTGTTCATATTCTCGCGCGTTCCACTTGTTTATTTGCATACATGTACATCATTCGCTGCGCGAGCTTCCCACTGTGTTTATGCGTGTGCGGATGAGAAGGGCGGGAAGACGCGCTGTGCGGATGCAACGTGTCGCGTGTGTGCACGTTTTGATACTTACTTTGTTTCGATGCGCAAAATGCCGACAATTACGTCCGTTTATCGATTGAGTATAAGACGTCATTATAAAGTCACATAATATTACAGGATATTTGCGAGTTTTATTTTTTTGTTTATTTTACATAGGAGAGTAATATGGGTGGAGCAGGATTATTCAATAAAACAGACAAATATTAATATACCCCCATAGAAGTGATCCAATCTGTTAGAACATTTTACCGTTTTAGTAGAGCTCGTGTTTTTGTTAGTTTCTTCGTTGGTTTATTACATGTATAGCGTTTACTGCGACTTTCCACAAGGGGGTTAGAGCAAAGTCGCATGCTGGCGAGCACATTTCGGTTGAACGAACCGTGGAATGCTAGGGGTTCGTTCGCCCTATGTGCGTTCAATCAACTATATTCAGCCTCGACGCTCGCAGGCAGTCAGCGACACGACATCGCGGGGCGGCGGTGGTTCCACCCGTGAATATGTTTTTAAATTATTTTACGCGTATTTACTCTGCCTACACTTTTTCGGCTTCCTGCGCTTTTTCCGACTTTTTTTTCTTATTTGCTTACAACATTTTCGACGCGTTCTCGTCACTTCGATAAAATTTTACTTAACATTTCAAGACTTTGCACAATGCTTCGTTCGAATGAAAGTTTATGAACGCGTTTGTTTTTCGTTACGCATAAGGTACCAGCATGATAATTAACGAACGCCCATCTTATGCACGTATCGGATAATACCGTGCAGTAGAGTAGGTACAACACCCCAAAGCGTAAGCGTGGTGTAAGTGTTCGGAATGCGTAAGCGAAATGCAAAGGGAATCTAACATGCGCGGGGAAATTCAGGCTTAGACAAGAATAAGCTATTACCAGTCAGATGTTTGTGAGTGCTTACAAAGGAAGCTCGGATACTTCGAGGAAGCTACTAAAAATATCCGGCACAATTAGAGGTCATTAAACAGTACAATATGTATAAATATTTATTATTTACTCCGAAATTAAGCAAATAACCCGTTTATGATACTGTTTAGGTACTTGTTGTTTGGCCAAACCTTATTTTAGATTATACACCTAATTTTAATTTTATCGATTTCTCTATTTCTATTCTACCAGGAGATATTTAAATTTAAATTTAAATTGACCTTTTAATTAAAACCAAATTAATAACTTTGTAAATGTAATGATAAGTAAACGGAATATGAGTATAATAATATTTAAACATATTGTTAATAAAGTGAAAGTGAAATTGAGTGAACGCCACGTAGTCGTAGGCAATAGTCGAAGTAACGTTCAATTTTTTACTTTCATTTTGCCATATATTGAATTCCGTAGCATACCTTCACATAAGAAAGGCATAGCGGTCTTGAAATGTTTTAATGTCAAGATTGCCAAGGAATCTATGGTGGTATCGAGCTTCCAAAAATAAATTCCTTTGAAAAGACGAGAATAAAAGCAAAATGCAGTATTGCCGTCGCAATTAGACGCTCAGACAATAAAGAAGCAAAAGAATCATTAGTACTTTTGGCAGGTGCGCTGCCAAAGTATTCGACATTTCTATGGATCATTAGACACGCACGTCCTTGTCCTAAATTTAAATGATGATCATGCGCCACGCGTTTTCGACACTTTTTAACACGTTGTTATGGGAATTGAAGCATCTAATATTTATTTTGTGGTTTTTTTCTGCTTTATGTTGCAGTTGGGCATTATCTACAGGGATATTAAATTAGAGAACATACTAGTGGACGACTCCGGACACATTGTGCTGACCGATTTCGGACTGAGCAAGGAGTTGCCACGCGACTGCGATGCAGCTGACCAAAGAGCGTATTCCTTCTGCGGCACCATCGAGTACATGGCACCAGAAGTCGTCAAGGGTGGCACTCAAGGGCACGATATTGTAAGTACAATTTTCTTCTCTGGTCGATTCAAGGTGGCGGGAAAAATCGCAAACGCGAATGTTGCATTTGTACAGTATAACTCACAACATTCTCCGTGAATACCGTATACCATATAGGGGCTTCCGGTCGACGCTGTATATAGCTTTAGCTATTGTAGGACAACGAATAAAAGAATGACGCTAGTTTAATGCACAATTGAGTAACCTCGACATGGATATCAAAAATTGGTACTATTGGTAGCTTTTATTTTCATTCTATTCCTGCAATTGTGTGTTTTTTACGCTAGAAAAACATTGAACAAACTAGGAAATAAACATTTAAAATTTAAATGTCAATTTTGAAGAATGAGGCCCGCTTTTTAATGCTTCACTTTTTGCTTTGACATTTTAAATCAAAAATATTTGCATTTTAAAGTAATCAATTCGAAATTCGTGAAATTGATGTCGTTATAAATATTATACCCGATTGTTCAACATTTATATTTTCAATTTAAATATGTATGACAGACAGTGAATACTTTTATATTAAAGTAGAATTTCAGGATAATTCATTGATTATTTAATTTCATTTTTATAGCATATTTGATTTAGTTTTATGAATTATTGATCGAGGCTTTTTTAAGTATTGATATACCGTGTTTTATTAAATTATTAGAGTCGTTAATTTAAAAGTTCACGTGTTTCTTTATTTTTTAATTTTATTATCTACCGCTGATTTCGGCACAAAAACAATGAGGCCAATTCAACCTAATACTTTCTATTGTTTCGTTATTGAGTGGTTTTTTCTTTGTTCGGCCGGCCCGATTTGTATTTACACATATTCAAGTTTGAGAATAAATAGTTTGATATAATTGCGCTCCATCAGAACGTCATTTCTTATTTACTCTCTTGGTGATTATGAGCGTTTTGTATGATGGCGGTGTGAGCTGGTACATTTAGAAATTGGTTGAAACGGATAAAATGGTTGGAAAGTAGGTTTTCATGTCTGGCCCCATCCCCTTGCGTCTTGCATAGACGCCCAATGCCGCCGCTGCGCGCGCCGCGACCTCGACGCGATCCAAATTCATCGAGGCGCCCTTTATACGCACACGGCGACGAGGCAGGCGCGTCGCGACGTGGCCTCCATTGCGGCTTATGCTCCACTATCGTCGTCCTGGTGTGTCCACTTTGTACCATTTATTTCAGTCTGCGAGCGTCCTTTTTGAAGCAAAATGCGACATGTATTTATTAAATGCCAAAAGTGCGATTGCTTTCTGTCAGGGCTTTGGAATCATAAAACAATTCTTTCAACAAACATGGATTTTTATCCTAAATATAGATCAAGGTCATCCGTTTGCAGACTGGTTTCTGTATATGAAATTTTATGCTAGAAAATCAAACATTTTCTTTCGATATTTTGTATTTATATTGCACAACGTTTTTTTAATTGAATATTTTGATCGCACGCCCGCGAGGCGTGTTTACAACGTCTACGGGTTAGCGCCGCTGCCGCCAGCGACGTCGGGAGTTGAAGCGGAGTTCGCCCGCCGTCTGGACGGTTTTTATGCGATGCACCCCGACGGCGACCTCGTCGGCGGCGGTTTGTGCGAGACGCACTTTCGGGGTGGGTGCAGACGTCCGCACCTGACACTCGTGGAGTCGTCGCACGCCGACGCGACGTTGCCCGTTAAGCGCGGAGGCGGGCGAGTTTCGGGGGCGGCCGATAATAATCGCGTCGCAGCGCAATCTGTCTGCACTCGGAGAGCAGACGCAGACGTCTGGCGCGTATTCCATTGATAATAACCTTTTTGAACTTTAATAAAAGTCTACGAACTCGGCTAATTCACTTGCATGGCGGCGCGAAACATCAATCAACTAGATGCCAATTATTTTCGTGTAATTTCCCAAAATGACGTTGTTTTGTTGTTGCAGGTTATTTTATTGTTTGGATTTTCAGTTTTACGGGTTCAGTAAAAAGGTGTTTCGACATATTGCGAGCAACTATCCAAGAATTATAGAACAAATAACATTTTACAGGATATTGGGATTTCCAACCTAGTTTAATTTGAAGCAATGCAATAATAAAAAATATTTTTCAAACACAGACAAGAAACTAATCATGTCTGTTAAACTGGTTAGTTACAAACTGGTTTGATAAAATTCTATTCTAAAGTTAAGTGATTTTAAAGGCCAACAATTTCTGTTTTTTTACTTAAAGTTTGCATGTTGAATGCAATTTTAATTTTGATTATTTCTATTTTATGTCTAACATTTCTACACGCACGTTGCATGTGTGATTGCTGATTTATTGATTATATAAATACCAATATTCTAATTTAATGCCAAGAAAGCTTATATAATTCCTCAATAAGGTAAAAGCTTCGATTGTAAATGAACTAGTGAAATTTATTTATATTGCGATAGTACTCAAATCTATTCAATAGACGTATTCTGCGCTTTTTTGTGAGTTGCTACTTGATTATTGGATTTACTTAACATCAGTCTCAAGGACCTAGGTAATCTCGTTCAAGGAATAAGTTTTCTTTTGTTGCTTTCGCTTGAGCAATTGTTCTGTTCGGACGTCTGGTTGGATAGCTCTCGAGTCGCGAAGCCTCCCAGCTCGTTGAATCGTTTGTTTCGCTCGGTCGGCTGATTGTGTCGGACGGGGTCTCAACCTAGAAACCTAATTAATGGCAAAATCGACTCGCAATATTACGTAAAACGTGCGCGTAATTGTTTGCGTTTGAGGTTTCAATATTTACGTTGCTGCACAGTCATTCGTGAAACAAAAATTGTCATTAAATCGCGCCGACTAAAAGGCGAAACACGATATATCGGGCCATTTTGGAATAGTTGTGAATATCGAATTATTTTCGTGAGGTTTTACCGCTTTAACATTTTCTGAATAACTTGTGATATTCACTTGCAAAAAAATCACATGTGTTTTATCTACTTGTGTCACTTAAAACGCACCTATTAGCAGTCCATGTGGGTAATATAAATATGTGGAAATTTGCTATTAGACAGTTGTAAGAATTGATAAATTCGTAACGGTACCACCGCGTACCACTCAGTGGATCCAAATTCTGGTCGCGTGCCCGATGTTAAACCTCACCGAAGATATACGAGATATGTTCGATAATGATGGAAGAAAATAAATCTGGGTAAAACCTTACTTAACTGTAATGACATGTCATAACGCACGGTTACTGTGTTAGTAATGTAACACTATTTGGGACAGTTTTGTTGGATTTTTAAAGCAGCTAACAGTGAGTTGAATAAAATCTATGCCTCATTGACTTGAATACGTAAACTTTCCGGTGTTATGGGGCAAAATTGGCAAATATACTATGTACTGACATTTCTCAGTCAGTAACATTAATCTATATTTCATCAATCAAGTAAATAGGCGGATAATTCTAGTGTAAGTAGAAATAACATGTAACTGCAGGAATCAGGGCGGAAATTGGATTTACTTCAAGTATACTTATCGTGTATGTTATTGGTACGTTTGAAAATTGAAATACAATTATCACAGTGACAACAATCTATTGCACCATTTGTACAGGGTGACCCAAGTATTTACTGATTTTACATCACTAGCTATTGTTTTTTCGTTGATTTAATTTGCTATTCAGTCTTTTTATTTGCATTCAATTATGCAGTTTTAAAATTAGTCTCCTGTAGTCTATAAAACTACAACCTTGAGCTTTCTTTGCTTGCACATAACCAAATACCCCTTTATTTTATGCTTGCATTAGTTGCTACTACAATTTGTTGTTAGTTTTTGTTTATTTGTTGTGCGATATTGCGTGGCGGTTCGCAGACAGGCTCGCGTAATGTTGTTTCACCTTTAATGCGCTCAGCGATTCGCGCGTGTGTGCTAACTGTTAACAAACTGTACTTACAACACAAAACGCGACTTTGAATGCACACACATTCGTGCGGGCCAACACTTGCGCTTATGTGCGAGCCACGCACACACATAGACGTGCCTGCGTGCACATACACTCATCGGCGACGGCTGTTTGCAGAAGGCAAAAGTAGGACGAAAAAGTGTGTCACACACACACACAATGTCTTCTCTACTAATGCTCATGCACTTGCGTATGTGGGCTACAATCCTCGTATTTAAGTAATACGTGAAATTTACTTTTTTCGAATCATTAAGCGTAATATTCGCCGCTGGGCACTGATAGAGAGTCGATTTTATGTACGCGGTTAGGCATACGTTTAATTGCGTTTAAAACTTGCGACACGTGCCGGCGTGTGTATGTGTGGGGATAATTTATGAATTAGTTCTGAAAGTCATGCTAGCGCAAGGTCATTAATAAGATTCGTCGCAAGTTAAACTTTTTTTTTGTTTGTTCCGGATGCGGTTATATCTTATTAAAACTTTTAGATGCCCCCGGAGTAATATCCCAGAGAGGATGATTAACATGGAACACGCAGCCCAGTTTTATGTAATGCGTTCCGACTAAAAATCGAATAATTTTCAATTTGCCTCCAATTTAGTTCACTACTAGCGTAACCTTCTGTAACCTAATTTCCTCATTACTTAACACTAAACTCAATTCTCAGCAGTGCATGGAACACAGGAGAAGAATTGATGCTGTTGCAAGCTTTCATTTTTTCCATTTAATTAAACATTTTTTACAATCACTATATAGCTGTATTTAATTTAATTAACTATTACTTTTAATATGTACTATATCAGCCTCGGTTGTTAACTCATTCGAGCGACCTATTTATCATTACCTTGTTAGTGTTTTTACTGAGTTGAACATTTTATGATGAGCAAAAACAAGTAAACCACATGATTTATCCTTCAACTTTTGTCGCTTGAGGCGCGCAACATTTTTGTCCTTGATAAAATTTTAGTGTGGCGTTTCCTTTCCAGTTGTCTATTACGAAAGTTTACTGTGCATTTTTTCCATGGCTTCTTTGCTGTGGTTTTAAATAATCTGTCGAAATTCTTGTCTTTGTGAAAGTAAGAATCACATCCGGCTTCCGATTATGTTCAATTTTAGGTTACTCACCACATTGTTTCCTGACTATTCTCGAAATTCATGGCGCGAGTGAAAGTCGTTGCTTTTACTACTCTTAAAGATTTTTTTTCGTGGTTTCTATGCAATGTGAGACATGTTTTAGCTGACTAATTGTATGCACGGATTTTAATTAATACACCTATCAAATTATTGTTATTCAATTAAGTATACAATTATTGACAACATGTAAATTTACATTTGATATTGCATCGTCGGGCAAATACAATAATCGAAAACAGAATACAAATTATCAGTTGATGGATAATGAATATTAATTTGCAGATTTATTTTAAAATTGCATAAAATATTCGCATTAAATGACATTTTAGCCCGTCGTGCGGAAGAGTTATGAAGCATATTCAGGTTAAAATGCTGCGGGGCTTTTATGTACATTATGCAAATCGCAATTAACGGTTTTTAAAGACTTATTTATGTGCGCATAACCAAATCAAAATGATAGTTATTTAATCCATAATGATACTTGTTAGCAGCGCGTAATATAGAAATGAAAACGCGAAAACGAAATGTTGCTCCTGCATCGGTTTGTCAATAATTTAGTCCGTTTTTTTTGTGGTGAACACGAGTTTACAGCGCTCGTGTGTTCGTTGATTACTTGACTACTACTACTACGTACATTTGCTACACGAGCCAAACGAATATTCCGTGTGCCATTTTATTGTTTATCAAGGACGCTCTATTAATAATGGCGGCGCGTTAAAAATACACCTCTTGCCGCATGCTTCGGTTTATTTATAATTTCTCTTTTCTGTGCTTCAGATTTTGACATTCTCCAGCGATTCACAGTTACTAGTTACTAACCGTTCCATATAAAATTAATCCATATTAATAGTTAATACTCAAGCTTGTTTAATCTTCGCTTCATATCTCCCAGATAACAAAAGAAAATAAATTATGAAATGAGTTGGTTAACCAGTTGAAGTTTTGTTCTAGTTATGGTTTTATTAAGTTACTGGTTATATATATATATACTCTTTATTTCGTTAAATACTTTAAACTTTAACGGTAATAACTTCTACGTGGCTGTGAGTCGTATTATTTATTACTGAGTTAAATGTGTGCCACTGGCTTGCTTCATATCAAATAAATTTCTTGTAATTATCTGCAAGAATAGTCCTTCTGAATGCGGCCATGTTTGTTATTGGTTGAAAGGTTGCTGTTCTTCGAAGTAGAAAAAAATTAAACGTTATATTCAAAATGTCAAAGCCATATGTAGTCGTCACTGTCCAGGAAGTGCAAAATTGTAACAATGAATAATTTCTCTAAAAGGGAATTCATGCTTCGAAAGTGGAGCACTGCAAATTGCGTAATTTCGCATTGGTATAAGGATTGTTTGCAAACGTTTGCGGTAATAGAAGTAACTGCATATTGAAAAGTGAATTTAATTCATTCCACCGACGTTCAGATAATTACAAACAATCATTAACATCGAGACATTATTCTATTCTCTCCCCTGATACATGGGTATATTATATGAATTAAAAATTTAATATTATCATACAATACGCTTAATAATTAATACAAAATATGCGATTGCTAAAGCATTAATATGATGTGGATTATTATTTTAAAATAATATGAGCTGCTGCTTAAGTAAATTACGATTTTTAATTAAAAGTTTATCTTACGATCCCAATTATGTCACACTCGCTTGTAACAGTTAAGAAAGGATAAAATACACTTAATAAGTAACATATTTGTGAAGCAAACCTCTAAAATCCTTCGACTTTCGCTAGTCGCCTTCGACGCGCTCACTTCGCCGCTGCGAAAAGTATTTTCTCTTTCGTGCCATCGCCGGGAGTTTGCAAACCGCATCGAGTCTATCGATCTCAGTCGCTCTCTTTGCCCCAGATATTTTCTTAACGCAATACTGCCTATGACCCACTTGGTGGATTTACTGTACGACGATGTCTTATTACTAACATTCTCGTGACTTACACCGGAATTGGAATTGGCTACCAAGTACGCAGATATGATTCTTTTTCATAGTAACTGTATTTCTACAGTTAACATTATCCATCCTGTTATGAGCTTCTTGAAATCATTTGAGTTTTTAACATGCTTAACGTATAAATTGCATTTCGTAATGAATGTAATTAAATATTATTACCTTTTTGGAAATTAATACATTTCTACTTATTGTTGCAGGCTGTAGACTGGTGGTCTGTCGGTGTACTGACGTATGAACTATTGACTGGAGCTTCGCCGTTTACTGTCGAAGGCGAGCGAAATACTCAACAAGAAATATCCAGGAGGATATTAAAGACAACACCTCCAATTCCAGATTGTAAGTGTTTCTTTATGGGAGGGTGAAATGAGACGAATGTGTGCTAATATGTTTTTTTAGCATTGGGCAAACACGCAGCCGATTTTATCAGTAAACTCCTAGTCAAGGATCCAAGAAAACGACTCGGTGGTGGCGAAGGTGATGCCAAAGAATTAAAGCGACACAGCTTCTTTAAAGGACTGGACTGGGATGCCTTAGCACGTAAAGAGATTCCTGCGCCGTTTGTGCCTGTAATTAAGTAAGTTTCTATCTCAATAGTTGTGTTTATTGGAATTGATTAATTGGTACAAATAATAATATTGATTTTGTGTAATTATAGGACGGAATTAGATGTATCTAACTTCAGCGAGGAATTCACTGCTTTGCCGGCAACTGACTCACCGGCAGTTATTCCGGCTAATTTTGATAAGATTTTTAAAGGATACTCATATGTTGCTCCATCAGTCCTCTTCTCAAAGAACGTGGTGTCCGATGATCTTCTACGTGCAACACCCCACGTGGAAGACAAGTCTAAGTTGATGCAGTGTCAATTGAACAATTCGCCCTTTTTCAAGTCTTACGATTTGGACTTAGAGGAGCAGATTCTTGGGGATGGCTCATTCAGCGTGTGCAGAAGGTGCGTCCAAAAGAGTACTGGCAAAGAATTTGCTGTAAAAATAGTGAGCAGGAAAACAGACTGCACACAAGAAATAAATCTTTTGCGTGCTTGTCAAGGACATCCTAATATAGTCAATTTGCATGAGGTTATTATCGATGAAGGCCATACGTATTTGATATGCGAGCTTCTCAAAGGAGGTGAATTGCTGGATCGCATCAGAAAGAAATCGCAATTCACGGAGAAGGAGGCGGCAAATTTACTAAAGAAACTGGTCTCAGTCATAGGTTTTATGCATTCAAGGCGAGTCGTGCATAGAGATTTGAAACCAGAAAACTTGTTGTTTACTTCAGATGACGATGATGCCGAAATTAAAGTCGTGGACTTTGGTTTCGCACGGTTGAAGCCAGAGCGTGAGCCGCTGCACACGCCTTGCTACACTTTGTATTATGCCGCTCCTGAGGTCCTTGAAGGCGACCCATGCGGTTATGACGAAAACTGTGATATGTGGAGCATTGGCGTAATTTTATACACTATGCTCTGCGGGCGTGCCCCTTTCCATGCACGCTCGCGCGATGATAGTGCTGCCTCAGTTATGGCGCGCATCAAAGGTGGTGAATTTAGTTTTGCATCACCGGCATGGGATGACGTCTCTGAAGAAGCCAAAGCGGTTGTGCGCGGACTACTCACCGTCGATCGGAAGAAACGCCTTCGCATGATCGACCTGAATAATAACGCCTGGGTACAAGGCACACAAATGGTTCCACAAACGCCACTGATGACACCAGACGTGCTTAGTACAAGTGGTTCAGCCGAGAAGAATTTGCAAACCACTTTCAACGCGTTCCACAAAGCCGAGCGGGAAGGTTTCCGGTTACAGGACGTATGCAGCGCCAAACTCGCACAACGCCGAAGAAACAAGAAGAGTTCCTCCGATAATAATTCATCGTCTAGTAGTTTCAGCAGCGAGGGTTCCTCGAAGTCCGGACCAACGACTCCTGTTACTTCTAGGCCCGCTTTAAGTTTGGACATGAAAAAAGTTGAAGGTGGTTTATTGCCAAAGGTCAGTTCAGCCTCATCAGACAAGAAGGAAAACGTGTTTTGTTTTGGCAATTATCGTGTTAAGGAGTATCTGCGAACAATGAGTTCATCGCCAGTAGATCCGAACAATTTATCTCCTTCCATTTCATTGTCAAGCAGCACCACCGAAAGGACAGTTAGTAATTTAGATCAACATGTGCGCGAATCTACGAGCAGTAGTGGTATTGTAGTGAGTGATAAAAATTCGATTGATACTAACGATGGTATCCCAAAACGTAAAAAACAGAGCCTTAAAAAATATGAAAAGACCAGACAGAGTGAACGTATACGACGACAGAATCGCAAAGAAATTGATATGGATCCTTTAGTGTTTATGTCATTACCATACTATAATAGAAAACGCAAGATGCACGACGATGTTGAAATACAAGTCATTGATCATTCAACTGTGCAGCCTACTGCATCAACGAGTTCTTTTGAGGATGAACTAAGCGGTTGTTCGCAGGCAAAGATTAGTAAACTAGTTGATAATACAGCTAGCAATACAGCAAACTTAATAATCAGAAAGGCTCGTCGGCGTTATAGGAAAATGTAACATATTTATACATAGGTTTTAAAACAATTTCCATTATTTTTCATAATGTATCGAATAGTAAATATTTTCATAGTTAACAATTAGTTAGGAAATAATTTGTTGTTTTGTTTTTATTTTAATTATAATTGGTAGATATAAGTGAGGAAAGAACTAATGACCAAGAAGCGAATCTCTTTACGTCAAACTGGAACTTGGTAAAATTAATGAATCATCCGAATAATTTGACGGAATTGCTATCATAGAATATTTGTGTACTGGATGTACTTGCCTTAAATTGTTGGAAGATTAGAAATCAGTTAAATAACACAGAAAAATAATATAAAAAGAAAAATACAAATTTGTGATGTTTATGGAATTGGTTTGCTGTCGAAAAGTTGTATCTTCTGTAAAATTGAATTATCTTTGTCTTCTGATTAGCTACATGAACTAATTAGAATACAAAACGAGCTGCCACTACATTTCTGATGAAATGGAACCATTTCATAGTTTACTTACGAATATAATTTATAACGGACTTGTTAAGTTTAACTCATTAATTGTGGATTTACACAAACCCATGAACATAATCATTATTACTAAGTAAACCCATGAATGTTAAAATATTAATATTTTAAACAGATGATAATGATGGGCCTGGATGATTAAATAGATATGTATATTTAAATCATAATTATGTAATAGTATTGTAGGCTAATGAAATTGCTATGCTATATTGAACTTTATTCAAGTGATTGTGATACATTTAAAACCTAACAAATCACTACTACACAATAATGTTAAATGCTAAACATGGATAAAATTGTTATAAACGTATAGAAAATATTTTTAACAATGATTCGGATAAATACCAAATTTAAGAAAGCACTAATTCTTTGTTAAATCAAAGGTCGAAGGTGAATCCATTGGAACAAGTTGTAAAGTTATAAATGCGTATATATTTAAGAAATGGTTACCGAGTTCCATTCATTAGCATAATAAGATAAACTAACATGATGATATATGTAGACAATTTTCATTTCCTTAACTACCTAAGTTAAACTTCTGTTCTTTATTAAATTATTTAGTTCTGTATGTCAGAATGTTAAAACACTGAATTCTAGTGTGTACTCTTTGTTTGTGTAGTATCTAATTATTACGCTTAGAATCATTGCAAATTTTAGTTCACTTACTTTGGTATTTGATCTTAAAGTTAAATTTTAAAACATACTACAAACAATTCTAATGTTATGTTGCGAATCTAGTTAATTAGAATGAAGTGACAATTCGTTGGTTTCTGGGAATTGTTATCAAAACTGAATGAACCAAAATTAAACCTAATTAAAATCATCTTGTATTAATATTTGTTATTAGTTTAAAGGTACTGAAAAACCATGAGACAAACTAATTTAGTCAAAATAAAATGTAAAGAAAACCAGAGAGAACAATACACAAAAATAATGCATTTATATGTATGAACAGCAACATTTCTATGTACATTATTAAAATTTAACATGACAACAATATTTTTGAACAGAGCAAAAATGTAAAACAAGTGCACTTCAAGCAAGTCATGAGGAATAAACTTACTTATATACGAAAGATTTTTTTGCATTTTAATTCTAATTGAACCTTACCCCCAACTTTTTATTTATTACAGGTTTGTTTGATGCACCCCCGTTTCTTACTATCAACCAGCGCAGTGCAATTGTACAATACGGAAAAATAAACACTATATTTCCTGTCATAGAAAAGTAATTTTATGTTTCTTCTTTTTCAGTTACAGCTTCAGTTATAGTTTCCTACATCTCATTTTTAATTATCACTTTTGTAATAAATAATTGCTGTGCAAATTAATGTAAAATTATACTCTGAATATTAATCTGAAAACTATTTTCTTCAAGCTTTAATCGTTTGCAAGAAAATTACAATTAACTGGATTACTGATTTTGCTATGATTTCTTGGTAAAAAAAAAAAAAATACATTTTTTATTACATAATATTGAATCAAATGCGATTTTAAGTACTTTATTTTAATAAAATTTTATTCTAAGATATACCGTTTTGATAATAATCGCCATAATAAAATTCGTTTTTGTGCGAAGTCAAATTTTTTTTTTAAATTGTCATTAGGGCCTAAACAATCAGTGCTAGAATAAAATTGTTCTTAAATAATTGAATTAGAATTTAATAAGTTATCTGAATCCGAAATCAGAACTTGTAAACTCCAATTTTCAATTCTTTATAAAAAAGAGTAAAAGTTTTGCCTTTTTTATGGCAAAATCTTTTCACGGTATAATGTTTTTTATGGCTTAAAATTAAAATTTGGAATTTTGAAATTTTTTCTTCGGATTATGATAAAACAGATTATTATAAATCATTTATTCTAGTAATATTTTGCTCTAATTTCTACGGTTTAAGCCCTATGGACCATTTTTTATTACATGTTAAATTGAATTGTATGTATCGAAAATTTTAATTTACTATCTAACTAATTAATCTGATAACAAAACATTACTAAGATAAATGATTGAAAATGCTCTTATCTCTCATATTCCGCAATAAAAAGTTCAAATTTTAAATATTTATTTTTTACTTATGAAATTTTAGAGCAATTGAATAATTCAGTTTATTGCAATTTTCTTCCAAACTATTAAAGTTAAAAGAAAACCGTTTTCTGATTTGAATGCAATGTATACTTTTACACTATTTAGCATTTTAAAATTTACAAATATCTACACTTATGTAAGAAATGAAAATGGTTAATAACTTGGAAACTAATTACGTCATAGAAACCAAACAAAGACTAAGGTATTCCTTGCATCATTTTACACCATGGTACAAAGTTTCGTGAAAATCGGAGAGGTGGTTCAGTTTTGTCAGTACCGATTTTTACCAGTTATTTTTGAAATAATGGTGTTATCAAAAAACTGACTTGATACTTTTCATCGCATTGCAATTCTCTAGCGATTGGCGTTTTCCAATTTTCTCTAGGATAAAAAATAATTTTTGAGCCACAAAATAGTCAAGTGTAACCTCTTGACTATTTTGGAGTGGTGTTTGGTCAACTTTGGAAAATGAAAAAAGTAAATCTGCCATTTTATAGATCCTTGCTATGGCATGAACAATATGCAAGAATTTTCTTTCTAACTTAATTACTTTCCGAGAAAATTGCATTGGAAAATTGTTTTTCAGTCTCTAAAAAATACAAATATTAAAATCTTATCTTATAAAGAATTTAATACTGAATGTAATGCTGTTTTCTGTTTCTGTAAATCTTTATTAGTTCAGGAGATAATTGATAATTAAATTGTGCTGGAAGTACATGTTCCAGTTAAATGCGTCTGCAGGATAAATCTTGAATGTTATTAAATAAAATGTTATGTAAACAAGGTTTTTCAAGGTAATTCAACATTATGGTATTATTAATTTTTAATAATAAATAAAAACACCGTGTAAAATGTCAGGCGCCTCCGCCATATTTTAGTTAATTATTGATAATTTGTGTTAACTAACAAAAGTATAGTTTTTTTAGCTGGATATTAATGAGGGCAATTTTATAATCAAACTATTTTAATATATTTATTTTATTCAATTTTTAATTTAGAAGATATACGTTTATTTGTTTTAATAACAATTTTACCAGTACCGGTCTCAATAGGGCCTTAAATAATGATTGCAAGATAAAAGTTTATTAAAATATATAGTTTATAATAATTTGTTTCATCATAATTTAAAAAAAAATAATCAAAATTCATTAATTTTATATTCTGTCATAAAAAACATTAAACCATGAAAAGATTTTGTCATAAAAAAGGCAAAACTTTTTCTTTTTTTTATCACAAATTAAAAACTGCAATTTTTAACTTTTCTTTTTGGATTTGGATAGCTTATTTAATTCTAATTAACTTATTTCAGTACAATTTTTGTATAGCACTTACCATTTAGGCTCTATTGACCATTTTAGGGAAAAATTTGACTTCGCACAAAACGAATTCAATCATGGTATGGATAGCAAGTGTTCCGCGTTGGCAGAACGAGCAGCTGTTGCTACAAACAAAGTTGCCTATCACAAATATCCGCAACTGAATAAATAAACAAAAAAACTATAAATTCATTGTTAAAACTTTTTGGCTGTGACGGCCAGACTTTCGTCATTTTCGGAAAAATGAAAATTTTTCTGTATGTTTTCCCAACACAGGTTAGAACGATCCCCAATTATTAAACCTGGATCGTGGTTCCTTTGGCAGTTAACAGCCAACAAAAATGTACCAATTACCCTCTTGGCATGATTTTTTCTTATACCCTATTTTTTAAATTTGACTGTAGCTCTAATTTAACTAGTCTATCTTAAAGAGAAATTTTCGTAGGTTAAGGATATGCCATTCGATCCTCTTTATCTCTATTAGTTTAGAAGATATCGCTAAAAACATATTTCGATACAATGAGAAGACCCCCCTCTTTGCATAATTTTTTTTAAAACCCTATTTTTTAAAATTGACTGTAGCTCAAATTAAACTAGTCTATCTTAAAGAGAAATTTTCGTAGGTTAAGGATATGCCATTCGATCCTCTTTATCTCTATTAGTTTAGAAGATATCGCTAAAAACATATTTCGATACAATGAGAAGACCCCCCTCTTTGCATAATTTTTTTAAAACCCTATTTTTTTAAAATTGACTGTAGCTCAAATTAAACTAGTCTATCTTAAAGAGAAATTTTCGTAGGTTAAGGATATGCCATTCGATCCTCTTTATCTCTATTAGTTTAGAAGATATCGCTAAAAACATATTTCGATACAATGAGAGACCCCCTCTTTGATGATTTTTTTAAAACCCTATTTTTAAAATTGACTGTAGCTCCTATCTTAAAGAGAAATTTTCGTAGGTTAAGGATATGCCATTCGATCCTCTTTATCTCTATTAGTTTAGAAGATATCGCTAAAAACATATTTCGATACAATGAGAAGACCCCCCTCTTTGCATAATTTTTTTTAAAACCCTATTTTTTAAAATTGACTGTAGCTCAAATTAAACTAGTCTATCTTAAAGAGAAATTTTCGTAGGTTAAGGATATGCCATTCGATCCTCTTTATCTCTATTAGTTTAGAAGATATTTTTTAAAATTGACTGTAGCTCAAATTAAACTAGTCTATCTTAAAGAGAAATTTTCGTAGGTTAAGGATATGCCATTCGATCCTCTTTATCTCTATTAGTTTAGAAGATATCGCTAAAAACATATTTCGATACAATGAGAAGACCCCCCTCTTTGCATGATTTTTTTTAAAACCCTATTTTTTAAAATTGACTGTAGCTCAAATTAAACTAGTCTATCTTAAAGAGAAATTTTCGTAGGTTAAGGATATGCCATTCGATCCTCTTTATCTCTATTAGTTTAGAAGATATTGCTAAAAACATATTTCGATACAATGAGAAGACCCCCCTCTTAGCATAATTTTTTTTAAAACCCTATTTTTTAAAATTGACTGTATCTCTAATTTAACTAGTGTATCTTAAAGAGAATTTTTCGTAGGTTAAGGATATGCCATTCGATCATCTCTATCTCTATATGACTGTAGCTCTAATTTAACTAGCCTATCTTAAAGAGAATTTTTCGTACGTTAAGGATATGCCATTCGATCCTCTCTATCTCTATTATTTTAAGCGATATCTTCTAAACAATTTTAATCATAACGTACGAAAAATTCTCTATATCTCTATAATTCTTCTATATTTTTCTCTATTCTTTTGTTGGCTTTTAACTGCCAAAGAAACCACGATCCAGGTTTCATAATTGGTAATCGTTCTTTGCTATGTTGGGTTTACACATAAAAACATTTTTATCTCTCCTAAAATGACGAAAGTCTGGCCGTTGCGGGCTCTAAGACTAATTCCTTCAAGAGCAATTCTTGATTTTGTATTTTTTTAGATCCGTTATATCTTTACACGTCTAAAAAGATTGTTATTGTTATGTTTAAATAACTTTTTATTATAGTTGATCGTGGAAAGCTTTGAATATTTTTAAAAATGACATATCGCATATTAACTTTTGCAAATGACACACAAAAACAGTTAACATCAGTCAAAAGACCTTACCGAAAATTCCAATTTCGCTGTTATTTTGTCTTTTTGTTCCCCTTACATCACGATCAAGTTTCTACACGAGAAAAGCGGCAAACGGAACAAAACGGTACAAACAACTAATTAGAACTCATTCTGTAAGAGGCAGTTAAATACATAGATTTGCTCCATCAACTTGGATTTTCTCCCAGTACGCTATTTATTCATTGTATAAAAAAATACACATGCTGGTTTATCCAGCATTATACATTTTTTGACTATGAGTGGTGGCGAGTGCTGCGAAACAGACACTTCTAATGAGTCAAAATCGATTGAAGGTAGGAAATGTTGTAGGGTTCACATTGTATTGTCTTATTTCTGTGTCTGTTTGTTTTCTTATTGTAGCAAAAGATGACAAATTTACTGAAAGCACACACCATTCTCAACAAGATCAACATCTTCGAGATGATGACGATGATAAACTGCATGGTATGTTTTTAATTTTTTCTTTCGTATGATAATCCCACTAAAGCTATAAGTTTGTCTGACAATAATGTTTTAAAATAGGAAAAATTTGATTAATTTTCTAATATTAATTTGGTACTTTATATACGCTAAAAGTTTTCAGGAGGGTAAACGTAGTATAAAAGTCCGACTGCATAAATTTAAGTAGAAAGTTTATAGAAACAAAATCGGTTGATCTAAGTATATTTAATTTTACGTTATAAAATTTTATATGTTAGTCCCTAAATTCAAGTTGCAATTTAGCGTACTTTTTGACAAGTCCATTGATTTTCTTTTTAAAAGCGGCATAGGAATAGTTTTTCACGTAGAGATTATAAGCCATATTGCTGATGAATACTGGAATAGTAGGATTCGTCAATACCTTATACATTGCCACAGCAAACAAATGTGGATGTGGCTCAAGAAGAATAGCAGAAACTCTATGCTTGAGTATTTCGTTGGGAAATCCGGTATTTGTTGCAATAATTGTTCTGCTGCAAGCCATAGCCGCCAGCACTGTTTCCGGAAATAGTTCATACATACAAGGTATAATAACTCCCATACTTTCTTCGATAAGAGTTTTCCGATATACCGTAGGCAATTGTCGTAGAAAAGTTACTTGAGAAGCAAAACACTTTTCCTTTGTATATTCTTGCAACTTATTAAGATTCACTTGTTCCTCAAGATCAGTTTCACTGCATTGACCGGCAATCACAAGATGAATATTGTTCTTGAGGTTTGGATCGCTCATGATTAAGACATCTTTAAATGCGTCTAATACGAGCTTGAAATTAGATTTTGTTTTGTAGCTACCAAAGCATACAAGTAGAAAATTTGGATTTGGGAGATCAGGAACGATGCGCTCGATTTCGACTGATTCTTCTTTCCATAAGCCAGTTTCCACACAGGGATGTAGAATTCGTATGTCTTTTTTTAACGTTGGAAACGAACGATGAAATACTTCGGCTAGAGTTTCACCGTGCACCACAATTTCGTTTGCATACTTTAGGGCTTTGACAGTGATCATGTTCGGATTTATCTTGATGAATTTTGTGTAATTTTCTGCTTGCTGTAGTGTTGAGAAATGAGTCACGTATATCAGTTTTGACGTGTTTAAAAAGGAAAGCAGGTAGAGTGCTATAGGTTCGATGTCCATTACAATGACTGTGGGCACGGGAGTTGGAGGGAATAGAATAATGCGTAGTGCCATCAAAATCGATCTCATGGATTTCCAACTGTTAGGAAGCCACCATCCACAATAAGATAAATTTAGGTTGCCATTTGATTGCTATAAACATATTGAGAACAATTTTACCATAGAAACTTATAGAGTTTTACCTACATTTAATTCCTCCAAGCAGTTGGCTTCTCCTAATTCGGATGCATATACTGTTATTTTATGCCCTTTTTCTTGAAGTGCATTGACCATGTCCAGAATGTACTGATCTTCATAGCAATTCTTGAATTCGTTGTGCAGAAAAACCACGTGTGCGGGGGAGACTGGTTGTATTTCGTCGAAGTCAGTTATGTCCTCCATTGTAAAATTATAAAATTCCCAACTTTTTACCCGTTATAAAAGAAGATCTTACTGAATTGATAAAAAATGATTTCATTGTGACTTGAAGCGATGACAACTGCTTGTGCCAATTGTCCTGGAAATGTATATGCCAAATTTGTTTTCGCGGCTGCCTATAACTGAACAGTTCATTTTTTACAAATACTTATAGAAATGGGAGAAGCACTGGAAATCGCTGAAAATCGGTGTAATACTTTGAAAGAACAACTTGATCAAATGAGAAATATTTACCGTGAGCGGAGTACTGTGGAAGAAGCAAATTTGAAAGAGGTTCCATTAGATGCCAATGTGAGAGCAAAAGAAATAAAGCAAGCACTTAAACAACCAATTATGCGACAAAACTCTGAAGCAATATCAACTGATAACAGCGGAGCAGCGGTTCTGACTATAAACAATATTCTCAACGGCATTACAAACTCTATCAACCGATTATCCGAACTACATACCTACATTGAACCGGAAACTCCTCGTTACCACAATCGGAAGAAATTAAAACGTTCAAAACCTCACGAAAATGAATTTGAGAACGATAATCGAAATGCAAAATGTTCGGCAAGTCGGAGCAGTTCTTGGATATTTAATGAAAAGGGTGATTCTAAAAAGAGAGCCAAACGTGTAAAATCAATACCTGAATCCGGATCTATGGCACATCTTAAAAAACCTGCACTTCGGGTAAAAATTGCTACAACGAAAGAAGAACCAAGTACAACTTCGGTCAGAAACCGTAAAAAACACAAGCGAGTAGCCAAACCTATTAAAAGACCATCTAAACGGCCTGGATTTGGCTCAAATGCATCTTCTAATCATTTGGTGGAAATTTACCATAATTCCGCTTTAGATTTTGCCGATTCCGAAGAATTAATACAAGCAGAATATGGACACGAATCACGAAATCATCTTCGCGCTAACCATGCTGACTTGAGAAGCAAGTATAGTCGCAAAGAGGTTCAATTGCCAACCATTTCTACCACCGATTGTAAAGAACAAGGGGACGCATATGGAGCAACTCGCACAGAAGGCTTCCGATCGTTAAGTCCGATCAAAGAACAAGAACCTAACATGGATGTAATGCAACAGCAGGAGATCCAATATCCCGCACAATATTTCTTCAATCGTGGTTATCAATCACCAACAATATCATCGAAGATGAAGCAGGTAACTCGTAGTTACTTCAAGAATTTCTCCTGTAAGTCAATTCCATTTTGTGCTGCTAAATCCACAAGTCCGAGTCATAACATTGGGATAAACATACAGCAAGTAATGAGCATCATCAAAGGAAGTCAGAATGTTCATGGTATCTCGCCCACATTGGCTCATAACATTGGACTCGCAGCTGAACGATTGAATGATCAAAGCTTCTCAGCTTTAGTGTCGAGTTTTGGATCGCGTTATAATTGTAGTCAGCCAGTGCCTTGCCCTATGCAATGTAACGTTAACTATCAACAACTACAGGAGATGGCAACGGAGGTTCCAAACGACGAGAATTTTGAGGAAGAAGCGGAAAATGGATACACAAAAAATAAGATTGAAATTGAAATAACCAATAGGGTATTATTGATTTGACAATATAAAAATTGATTTTGCTTAGGTTTACTTTTACTTTCAGAAAAGCCAAGAGGCGTTATGTTGGTCTATTGATCCCAACACTCATAATAACTGCACTTGTGCAACTGGAACGGGCATTAGTTTTCATCAAATTGTCGACAAATATCAAAATTGTGCGCCTCCACCTCAAAATACAATTCCCACTTCAATTTACAGCTTGCAGCAGAATATGGTTAGATAATAATTATCAAATAATTAATTTAAATTAAATTTTATTTATTGTTTAAGTATATACCAAAAATACATAAGAAGCCGAATAAACGATACGGACATATTCGTTCCGTATACGCTCAATATAATGATCGCAAGAACAAAACTGAAAATCTAAACGATTATTATTCTGCTGGTGGCGAATCAAATCTGCCTCTACACGGAAAAGAAAAAGTTTTAAAAAGTGTGCTTATTAATCTACACGACGAATTTGGAACACTATCTGAGTATATAAATACAATTATTAAAATATTGAAATACATTAATTATTTACTTCTGCAGCAAATTTGATGAACTAACAAAAATCGTTGAGGATGAAAATCGTTCCAATCCTGATAACGTGGAAAAATTAGAAGTGCTGGAGAAGAAACTTAATGAAAAAGAAATGGAAACACAAATGGTAATGGCTTTATATACAGAAGTGCTCAATTTGAAAGCGCAAGTGAGGGCGCTAAGGGAAAAGGCTGGTATGTCGGCGGCCATTGTTGATTCTCAATTACAACGTATGAAAACGTATCAGCGCTATCAGTCGCAACCAATACAAGGACTGCAACCAAACTATATCAATAATACTCAGGGTATTCCTCAGATTCACCCGCAATTCTATGCTGCTAAAACAAAAGAGAGTAAAAACATCGCTGCGTTGCATCTGACGAAGTTATTACGACAGATTCATGCTTATCGTGAAGTTTGCAAGACGGGTGGGAAGTAACACGTGACAGGCGTTTAAATTCGTCGTTACCTACATTATAACACGTTTGAAAAGTCTAATTACAATCTGGCAAATTAATATACACCTACTTGGAAATTTGCAAAGGTGTGAAATTAAAATATGTAGAAATCAGTTGTAGTTAAAATATTCAAATAAATTATTGTCAGAATATTAAAGTTTTGCTAGTTTTTTATGCAATTTATATATTATGTGATAAAAAAGTTATAACACAGAAATCTACGCAACGACCACATCAATCTATATTAGGGCTAAAAGCATTCGTAATGAATTGACCAGGTGTTAGTAAACTGCTGTCATGCACAAAAGAGAAGAGGGTAGAATAACATACTTTAATGTATTTATTAGACAACGTTAGTCATCCAAATTTTTTATCATTACACTAAAATAAATATAAATAAATTGAGTAAATTTTAGGCAATGTTTTGATAAAGTAAAAAGTAAGTACATAAATATATATCGAAGTTTATTCGCGGATTGTTTACTCACGCATATTGATGGTTCAATAAAAACGAAGCAACAACACTCGACTAGTTAACAGCATTCGTTTAAAAGCGATTTCATCATCTGTGTGGTCTTCAAATCTTCGTGCCTCGATGCATTCATGCGTCTTTCGAGCTTCTGTGCGTAATACCTCAGTTCATCGGAGTCGCTTGGGCCTTGTTGGCCTCGCTACTTTACATTCAGTTCGTTCACGACCCTCCAACTCCAATGGCACAAGCATATACTTACGCGTGTAATGATGGTCATGTAAATTTGTTCGATCCTGTCGTGTCCGATCGCTTCTTGGTGGTTTTTTGCTCGAAAACGAAGAATTAAATTCATCTGGCTACCGCACATTTAAATATGAATATAACTAGTACTTTGTGAAGTCATAAAATTTTCGATTAGGTTCGACTACACAAGCGGATAAATTATATTTATTTTTTGAAGCTTGCTTTTAGTTTCTTCGATTGATTTTAATAGATGCCTGCGCGAAGGTCTGCTTTTCTTTATGCACGCTATTCAATAAGTAGCCGATGCATTGGAAATATAAAAACGTCCATTTTCCGTAAAGACCCGTGCGTCGTTCGGTTCGCGGTTGAAGTGCGCGCCTGCGTTTTTATATAGTATTTTATAATTTCGTCATTCGCTCGTAAATTTATGAAACGTTTATGTGCCGCCTACGTCAAAAGTCCGTGTAGTCGATGCGGCTCGTTGGTTCTTTCTTATAGATGTGCTTCCTCTGCGTGTTTGCACGTTGAGAATATATTCCATACATAGCTACATTTTGAAATTTATAAATTAACATCGATTTTACAAGATGCATGGAATAAAATATTGTGGTATATTAACAAGTGAGGTCAAAAGTTCCCCACGCTTTATACGAAACTAATTCTTTAAACTGTTGACTTTTTGATTTAAATAAATAACACTCATTAGTTATTTAAAAAAAACAGACGATTATGTCACAAACTTTTGTGCTACCCTATAATTATTTAGTAGTCTATTTATTAATTCTTCTCTACATCTTTTTAAGATTTGCTTACACAAAACAATGTTTCAACATAAATTATATTTACATTGAAAGAAATATAATTTTTAATCATATATCACTTGTAGTGTGTCAATTGGGACGGCAATTCTTGACTTTTAGTAGTCATAAATGCGTGTCGAATTTTATTACGCACAGTTCATGTAACACACGCTTTAATCCTCAAAGGATATCTACGTTTTATTTGCGTACTCGATGTAGGTATCTAACCACACATTATTCCAGCAAGCTCAATAAATGGAAATTACAATAGTCACCCAATGTACATCATTAATATTCGTTTAAACATTTTACAGTGCTCCTAGAGGGCGTCTTACTGATATCAATTTACCAAAGTAACATTTATAATTAAATTTAATGGGATTATATATTATTGTATTTATTATCGCGTATCTATCTAATTTAATCATTATGCGTGAATAAGCGCCCAAAATAGATACGCTTGAAACGAAACTAAACATTTAAAATATTCACAATTGAAGTTGCCAGCTAATTTCCTATTGGTTCGTTGGTAAACTAATTAAACCGCCATTTTGAAACGCAATTTACTTGCTGTGTGTGTATTCGGAAGCGCTCAACCGAGAATACAATAGAGGTTCGTAAATAACCAACTGTAACAGTTGAAACAGAAAAATATTTATTTATTTTTAAATACTTTATTTAAATTGATTAATTTTGTAGTTTTGGGCTACAAATACATAAGAAATAACATCACGTATCATACGCTCATGTACACCTAAATGTTTTGTCAATTGAGCAGAGCTTCATTCAGACACATCCGAACAAAGGGTAATAAAAATGAGAAAATGGACACAATGCGCACACACACTCACGCTCTTCGAAATAATACACATTCGGGCAGCTTGTATGCATTATTATTGAACCTATAAAACTTATCTCTATGGAACAACAACGCCGGGCATTTTGTTTGATTCATTCACCAGGTTCAAAAATAAAAAGAACTAAGACGTAATTTATTATTCGGTTATTAGCGTTCGAACCAAAATATTCCTCAATAGTCGGGTGTAATTACGTCCGTGATCTATTGTTCCGAAATAAGCGTTCAAAATCTAGCAGTATGATTAAACATTTCTTTTCGGCGCTATTATAAACGTAATGTATTTATTAACTTTCATATCAAATTGTCTATTCGCCGCCATTCATGCATATGTTTCAATTCATTCTTTTCGTTTTTATAATGGTCGATCATGTTTTACATTCAAATCGTGTTACAAATTGTTTAACATCCAATTTGCTTTTGTTACAATTATCATAACAACCAAATTATTTCAGAACATTAAAATAAATATAGATTTTATGCATGAATTGGAATTATAAATGATTAGAAACAAATTTAATTGGTTTTTTCATCGCGTTTAAGTTCACAATGTAACATTTTCAGACTGATAACTAAGGACAAACCATGATATAATTTGGAACGCTGACCTGATGGTGTGTCCATCACCAAATAAAATAAAATAAAATAAAGAATTGAACGCAAATGCGTTTCTCTTATACAATGCGCACGATACGATTGAAACGTACCGGATATGACCCATGATCGTAAACAATGGCGGTTATTTTTTAATGTAGTCATCCGTTAAAAAGTGTCTTCCACATTCACAGCGAGATGTGAATACACGCCGATGTGGAGTTGCACAACTGTGAAATAACTAATCTATCAATGTCGCAATCTCGTTCCGGACGCATGCCAACACATGAAGTGCAATTTGCGACCACAATCTTAAATTACCAACTTTAATCTATCGTTAAAACAAAGTAAACAAATATTAAATGTATATTAAGTATTTGTCATTCATTGAAATGCATCAGGCACTAAACGAATCTTCATAACTCTGTTTATAAAAAATTTAAATGTTTATAAATGCGTTTCCTTAACAGGTACTTTCTTACAAGTGTGTTACATTAACAAAACTGCAAAATAACCGAGGAAGTAAACGACGTTTAATGTCGCTGTCGCTGTGGTTTCAAATTAAACAATGCATCTTATCGCGACGTTCAAATATGGCCAGGAAATGGGATATACAAAGTGTTTGTTCGAGCAAATATTGAAACTGGTGATTCTAGAAACATAAAATGTCAAAATTTTTAACCATATGAATACATACGACAAAAATCGATATATTGAAACATTAAATTATCAATTTTTATTTCTTGTGCAATATTATAATTAAAACTAATACAATATTCTTGACTTTAGATATTTATAAATGAAAGAAAAATTATTTCTAATTGAGTAAACTTCATCCTGTATATCTTAAATTTTAAAACAAAAATCGAGCGACGTTGGTAACGACAGGATGTTTTAAAATTGACGAATATGTAAATATTGAATCATTCCTATATAAGATGACGTACCGGTTTATGTTTACGTTTGAACGATTTTTCTTTTTTCCGTTTCGGAAGTTGTCTTCTCATTATACTATGTCAAAAAGACAATGATGTATTTAAAAGAATTTGTGTTAAATCCAAAGTCAAAAATGATTTTATAAAGCTTACGTTCAAACTTGTTTTCACTGAGTGATTTTAATAGACGAAATAGACGTTCTTATTCTTCAAGTTTATTTACATTTTACACCTGTGTGGCGTGATTATTTCTGGTCGTGTTCTTAAGATGATATTTGAAGATCACATTTTTTTCCTTGCCATGCATTCTATTTTAAAGCGTCATTGTATATTTTACCCTCGTGTTATGTATCCATCGAGTTAATAGGATTCTGAGTGTGTAGTCCATTAATTGTCAATAGAAGTCACCCTAAACTTACCCCATTGTTATTCTACCACCACGGGTCTACCACACACCGAGTTTGAGAGTTAATTTAATTAAAATTACGTCCAGACTGATTTTATCATTTACACTAACCGGAGTTCCAATTTTCATGCAAAATTAAATGAGATGTTAGGGTTTTTAGAGTTTACCCTTTACTGTGCTACATAAAAAAGACATTACTGTAGCGTGGGTAGTTCTCCATGCTTCATTAACCACGAGCAAGTTATCCGATTATTGTAAAACGGCACGAAGTCGTCGGATCGCAGGGAATGGAATACTTAAGTTGCGTTATTAGAACTTAGCTGTACATGTCCCTTCAATGCAGCATCCGCTATCACTTATTATCAATTCGCTGGCCATCGCTGATCCCAGTCAATGGACGTATACCTGCGCTGCTTTACAAACAGAATAGCGATCGTCATCGCATGTAGCTACCATTGGCGCATGGACATTGAGCCGCTTATCGACGATCTAACAATATCTATAAGCGACAACAATCAGGTTGAAAATAACAAGCCACTGTTGTGGAGGTGCGGGAGCTCGTTTTTGTCAGATTTAGATTATGACTGCGCAATTTGTTCGAATTTCACGTTTCGTTGGCATTATGGGCTTCCAGTGGTTTGACGTTTTCATTTTTATACATCTGGACGCTGAAGATTCGTGACATCTTCGATGTATTGTCTGTTTTGGAATGGAGAAGGCTTAAAATTTGATTATGATCTAAGAAAAATTAATTCGTGTCAATATTTCTTATAAATGAGAATAATTCTGATGTCTGTAGAACCTATTGAAGTATATTATGAATTTTTTAATTAAAAATAGAAAAATGGCATGTTTTTAAAGAAAAACCAAAAAGTTTTATTGATGTGGAGAAACATTTATCACCAACAATGATTTTACCATATGTGATAAAATACATGGAGAAAATAAGTGCGAAAAGAAATGAACGCAAAAAGAAGGAGTAGAAAAAACGTCGGGATCAATAAGAATGGCCCCATCATTTTATTAGCGGCGGGCGCGTGTCGTGGGCGTAGAAATAGTACGCTTGCGCTCGTGGTGCGCGTCGCCTAATCGACTGCGCCGATCGTCGACGAGTCAAACCTCTCCTCTCCATCCAGCGCAACGCACGCGAGCGGGATTGAATGCACGCCGCGCGCGCGAAAGGCCGGCTTTTCGATATTCGGAGATATAGCACACATCGAGAACAACAAACACCGTCACAACACGCGACGCCGCATACTGCTCTCGCGTTGTCTCTTGCGTTGCGCTTCGCGGCCGCGAAGAATCCCGACGTTTAGGCGGTTTTTAGTCACTCACTCAGTCCGCGTGCGACCGTTCGATCAGTCACACCGCTGAATACAGCGAGCGCACGCGACGCGATACGCACATGTTACTCAACCACCTTCTTCTCTCAGCGAACTTTCCTCGTGTTCTTCGCGTGTGTTAATCCAACAAGTGTCTTATATTATTAACGTTTAAACTTTGTGCCTTATTACAAGTGACTTAATTTAAAACTTGGATATTTCTGGAAGAAACGTGCACAGACAAGTATAAAATTTGATAAACTTGTTTTTGTTTTGTTTATGCACAAACTTGTAAAATATCAGCGAGATTAAATGCGCGCAGCAATCTTAACGTTCACCTTCGACGACCGCTGATTACAATTGACTTTGTTTGACACGCGCATTACACAACATTTCTGGAAAACAATTTCTACATAGTGCGCGAATAGTGCGTGGGTATTCACTGCATTTGGAAAGGATTGACATCCTGATTGTGGTTTTAGTACCAAAAGGAGAAAGGATTTTTGTTTGAGGAACTGTGACTTTTATTCGCGGTTGGATATTGTGGTTGTGCATGGAAGGACTCCTCTCGGGCCGCCGAGGGTTGGTGTACGATTAAAACCGGGATATGGATACGGGGGCGTGCTGTTTAGCCCCCTCGGCTCCTTTGCACTCTGACGATCAAATCGTGCCGGCTCATCCAGGCGACTGTTGGAATCCACCGACGAATCATTCGCAGCCATTTTTAGACGCTTGGCTACAAATGCAGGTAGGATAATATCTATTTATTTATATTATGTATTAAAAAAATAATCAGATTTGAAACCGTTACGAATTACACGCAACAAATTACACGCAGCCAAAATGATGGTGTCATTCTTGAAATTAACATCAATAAAATAACAACACAGCGGTGGTGTATGAAGAAAGCCAATAATATGCACAATCACAATAATAGATTATTTCTCCACCTTGTTCGCGCCGTGTTACAACCTGCATCGCGCTGCGCGTACATCACCGTCGGACGGCTTCGATGCTCCGGGTGTTTGTTGGTGGCGCGTGCGGATAAATGAGAGTCATTCGCCGGGGCGTTCCGAATCAATTCCAAAGCATTCATAATCTATGCTATCGCTAAACGCACGCATCTATAACAAGAAAGGGGACCCGCGAGTCATCGTGTGTTGTGATGTGTATAAAAAACGCATTAGCCGTGTGTATTTGGATAATCGAACGAAATGAGAGGCGAATAAGTAATTATAGGCGAAGAATAGAAACGGATTCTCAGTTGGAGTTCGATTTTTTTGACTTTCGGATTTGTCGGCCCTCTCGATCGATTCAAATCGCTAATACTTTTATGTTTTTTCGAACGTCGATTTACATTCTGGGATGCATTGCATAGTGTTTTATTTCAGCGTCTATTATATATTTATTGTTGTGAACATGAGGTTTTAGATGCTGATTGCTTTGTTCTGATTTCGTAATATCAATTTTAGATTGCATAATCTTATGAATTCTTCTAGTGTAACTTAAATGTTTAAAGCGGTGGTGTTTCTTTTCAAATGGCAAACGTTGAAATGTAAACGTCAGGATGGTGCCTTCGTGTGTTAATGTCTGTATTTGCCCACGCGGCAGTGTAATAACTGAAATTAATTAATCAACTTTTATTTGGGTATTGAATCGTTACCGTTGGATGAATATCGTAAGAGTAAATAGAAATTTGTCATTTATTACCTATCGAATCATTAATTTTTATTGGCGGACACTTTTTTTTTCATTATATGTTTTGCACATTGCTTAATGGCTTAGGTTTGGGGATTAATAAATGAAAGCATTAATCGAAGATGAAACATAACGGATAACTAGGTTCTTGGATAGTAACTATTCAATTATTTTTGAAGCACAAATTAAAATATCACCGACGATTAATTTTTATTTTTATTTATTGGCTACAAGATAATAATAAATATCAATAAAAAAAATTCGATGTATAAAATTATTAATTTTTTTGTTACTGCAAATTGTTAGGCAAAAAATATTTTTTTAATTCTAGAAGTAGATAAAATTATAGCTTAGTGAATAGAAAATAATCTTGTACTTTAAAAATCACATAGATACGAAATTGATTGCAATAAAAATAAATCAATAAACTAATAGACATCAAAATAATTTAGATACATACGATAGGTAATTGCCAAATGAGAAAACTTTTCGTGTAATTATACAGTTTAACTACGCATATGAGTACTTTTAATTGTCACGGATGTTTGGCACCGTTTAACGTTAACAGGTTGTTACATCCAAAACGTAACCTACTCGCTGCGCGCACATTGGAGTATAATGAACCATCGATGGCAATAAATTTCATTGAACCAACATTTCATAAAGCCTAAACACCGTGAACATGTTATACCTAGTCTCTGTGCGATTGTATTCGGCCGAAATGAAAAATTAGCCATGCATGTAATGTATGGGAATATTTTATTTCGAAGCAATGGACACTTTTCAAGCACATTAATCGACGCAGTCAGTCAATTATATTGGTAGGTACACATACAAGGTGTTTATACAAACAACATTGGTACTATTTAATGTAGACACACATATTCACAGCAAATAATTGCATTGGTAAACGGATTTCCGAACCGTTTAGAAACACAAAGGCAAACGGCGACATAAGAAGAGCCGGAGAGGAATTAAACATAAATTTCCGGTCAGTATTTATTATCTCCGGGCATTATGAAGGGACGAACACAGGCTGGCGAGCGGTAAACAACGAGCATTCAGTTCTAAATCACCAATTTGATACCGGAAATTAATTTATTATTTATACACCGAAAACAATTTAAATTATGCTGTGTGTGCGTTCAACCCTTTCACACGCATAACGAAAATATATCTTTGAATTTCAACGCGTATACAATTATTATTAAGGCAATAAATCTGCTTATATGTATATACTGTGTACGCATCTAGGTTCAAATGTCAAATTGCGAAATTCCTTATCCATGTGCAACTAGTGTGGTAGTGCAGTATACGCGTACACTTCTAAGCAAGTGTTATAATTTAACTGTGTGCATGTTTGACTATGCGTGTACACCATATTTCATATGATTAATTAACTATTAAGGATAATTAATAATACGTGCGGATTACCAATAGCGCAGTACGCTGTTACAGCGTTGAATGAATGCTGTACTACTTTATGTGCCGCTTGTTTATTACCATGCATCTATATGCACTTTAATATCAGTAAATTATAATATTAATTTGACCAAAATATATGCATGTTATTAAATCGAACATATTTGGAGGAGAATAATTATCATAACCGTATGAAGTCGGTAGCAAAATCGACTAATTTAGTCGTTGTAAAACTGTACATCGGAGACAAAGCGAGCGCGAAATTTTTACTTCGCCATGTCGGCGGATTGCATTACTCCTGTTTGATTTAAAATTAACTTCGCGGCGTGCAGTCGGTGGGCCGTATCACACAAAACGGTGGATATCGCTGCCGAAGAAAGATTTGCGCCTCTGCGTCTTTCAACCGCTGCGCGCCTTTTGTACTTCCTTAAATAGTGTTTTATATGGGTTTTATGAACTATGCCCGGCGAGCGCACTCGGACGATAAACATGAAACGTGAAACATGAAACTTCATGTTACATTAGCGCGAACTTCTTGTCGAATCGAAAAACTTGCTAATTATGGCGCTATATAATAACGGATACTTCGCGTGTACCATGTTAGGGACAAACATTTTACATTTAACAATAGCATGCAGAGAAAAACATAGGATACAGACAACAAAAAGCTGACGCAAAGTTCATTGCTGTACAATTGTGGTATTATCTTAATAACTCAATCAATTTCAATTAAATGTACCTACATATAAAATATGCAAATATGTGAAATAATGCACCATTAAAACCATTACAGTTGAGTTAGTTTAAATCGGAAATTATAGTCTTTAACTTAGTAAACTGGATTTGCAATTTGCAATAAGGGTGTTTTGCATAATCTGTTACGAACAATAAATCGTTAGTGTGTATTTTTACGGTGCGACCCTCAATTTGATTAACATTTAAACGACATAATAAAGTAGATCGTTGTCAGTTTCATTAACAATCGACCTCTGCCGATTGAATGCAATATCCGATCGAATCGATTCGCAAAAGTATGAAAATTATCGCATTATACAAATTACACAAATAGCATTTCAGTTGCGTGTAGATTAATTAGCCATTACTGGTTGAATGCCTTCGACTACTTACTCCTGCGTCTTTCAATTACTATCAGGCTTCAGTTTCGCATACCGTTTGTTTCTTTCAACAAATTTAGTCGTTTACGTGGCATTTTAGAAGAGATTTCTGCACTAGGGAGGTATATACTATACTCGTATACTCCTTGATTATCAGGCGTGCAATGTGTAGCCGCAAGTGTTAAATGTGATCTTTTGCTGCGCGGTCGCTGGCAAAACTGCTAATCAATTAACAAATTTGAATAATCACTTGCGCCTTCAACAAGGCGTTGCAAACGGTGATGGCAAAGCCTTACATGCAAATCGTGCGCGTCGTGGGGGCATTTCGCACGCTTTGTATTGCGCCATATGCGTGCGTCGTCCCCGTAATTGCCGGCTGAAACACACAGAAAACCATTATTGTGGAAATATCACATCGCTGTGTACATAAGTATTAATGTTTGATATTAATGTAAACTTCGTCGATGTGCGCATGCTAACTGAAGGAAAATTAATGCATCTGCGACTATACTGCGACTATAGGCATCGGACATGACCCAATTTTAAAAGTTAATATATTCGTGATACTCAGAGAGTACACTATTCGCACAGTGCATTCGTTGTCCCTAGATAAATATCACACGATGAATTATTCGTTGATTAGTGTAAATTAATTTGATCAATGTGGAAAAAATTGTTCTTGCTGGTTATATAAGGTTTTATAAATATATTCGTTCAGATGTTTCAAGCGTGAATCCAAAAATGATCGATTTGTTGCTGTAGCCGACCCAGAGGGCAACAATGCAATTTTGCACAGCTCTTCAGCGCACTGGTGCATTAACGCGCACACGTCGATTGTAATGCCATCAGCTATCAACCACACGTTTATTTATTATCTATGCGCATGCAGAAAACGTATCATTACGAAATGGCAAATAACAACGATAGACGTAAATAACAAATTGCGCGTGCGAAACAAATGGCATAAGCATCAAAATGTAAAAAGTGCCGCACGGAAAATGAGCAACACGTCGATAATTGCCATGCAAGCGGTGACATTCATCCACATTCATCTATTTGCTGCTCTGATATACGGTAAACAGTAATTGAAAGAAAATTAAATCACTCCGCACCATCGGCGATAAATAACAGAAAAAAACACAGCGTTCCGTAGTGTTAATCATAAAATAATACATGATTGCCTCAACGTGTTGCGGTTTTATTGTGGTGTGTCATTTTATATTTTTACTGTCAGAATGACAAACTCAATGCGCATGCGATGACAGGTCTCTGTCGCATGTATAGAATCAAAGTTTATTAAATGTTCGCGGTGCGCTAGACGCGAGTAATAATTTTCTTTTCGTCACGCTGAACGTTTTCCACATTGACGTGTTATTATGGCTTTATTAGACGTACCATTCATTAGAGTCTTAATTAAATGTGCATTTTTATATTTGCGCACAATAATAAAAGCAAAGATGACGTTGTCCACTATATTTTTTTAATTATCAAAGTTTTGCATTTAAATTTTAGA